GAGAACTCAAGCAGACATGTAAAATACCATAAACTGTTGTTTTCTTTGAAAATCCATTTGATTGTTACAGATAAATGGAAAATCACATGGCCCGAAGCAAGAAGTTCTGTAGGAATGACAAAATTACATGAAAGTGCTACCAAAGAGTGAGATGCCTGCTCCACAGTATTCCAGGTTTGATGCAGTGCTGCTATCTTCAGTTTGGACTGAATTACTGAGAGGCAACATCTGAGAGAAAGAAATCTCTATTGGCAGATGGCTCATTGTTAGTTGTGTCAGCGGCATGTATGACAACTATCTGGCATTGTAACAGCTAATTAAATTGGCTAAATTGAACAAGAATCAAATACCACAGACACAGGAGAAACACATTCGGTTATCAAAGCTTCAAATGGGAAACAAATTCTTATTGTCATGGTAGAAGAGAACAAAGCTCCAGTGACTTCCCCCTTCCTTTAAACATTTGTTCATTAGCAGAGAAACTGCAGAACATGTACAGGGCAGATCAATCAATTGCTAGTCAAATGTGACAGCAAGAGAAGAGGGGGAAAGAGAAACCTAGAAGTGAAAACAAAGACGTATCTCCAAGTGGAGTAATATTTTTCATGCCATTGGCAGCCAATGCCGTGGAGCTGCACACTAATCACGACACCCTGCCAATTTTAAAGCACACAGAGCTATCATTGAGCAAGTACAATCTGCTACTGGATTCCTTTTGATTTCCCCTTAGAAAACAAATCTGTACGGCAGTTATCTTAATCAAAAGATGCTAAGTGGACAAGGCCACTGAGAAGAATAGCGTCTGATCAAATAGAGCAGGTATGTCTTGCTGGACATTAGGCTGCCACTGGAAAGGTGCAGCTGCAGGAGAAGAGCAGCATATTCTTTTATGGCTGATGCTAAACATGGAAAGGGGATTTTCTGCTAATTGAAAGGAAAATAAATGCCCCATCCACCTTGAATATACACAAGAGTTCTGGCACAAAAATGCTCCTATACAATCAATCATTTTTACAACTTTTACACACATAGTTTGCATGAAAGAATAGTTTTTCAAAAACATTTGCTCTTGAAGGTTGGCCTAAATCCTACTGCTAAACCTAAAGGAATCAATGGGATTCACATAAGTTTTGATTCAGTAACTGATCCAATATGCTTGCTTCCCTTGAGACTAGCAACTGGATAAAAAACATTCCTGCTTACAGTTTGCCCCTAGACTGTAGAACTCACTTCCCAAGGAAGCTAAAAGTGCCACATCCTTCTTCTAGTGATGGGCTAAAACAATTTTGTTCAGACTGGCTGTTAACACAGAGAAAAATAAAGAACTGGGTAGAGGGTACTATTTTGTCTCACCAAATTGTTTTTAGAGCTTTAAATCTTTTAATTTTTGTATTATTTTATGATGTTTTGAATTCTTCAAATCCTGTAAACAATTTAATTCTCTTTTTATTTTCATTTTTTTCTATGTTGGCAATTGCATTTTCTTTTAAATTGTGAGCCACTTTGAATTCCAATTTTGGGGGATAATAGCAACTTAATGCCAAGAGCAGCTGCATGTATTGTATTTTCAAATACAACCCTACCTCTTAAATGGAGGATGAGTATGTTTACAAACTATACACTCTAGCCTCTTTCAGCTAATGAGAGATCTTGGTCTACCTGTGCATTATGTCTAAAATGGCCCACTCTACTATGCATCAAAAAAGATTTTGAATAATCCATGCTTTACTTTGCTATCATTTATTATGGTACGGTAAGCATACTTGGTTACCAAATCTATAATAAGTTAAGAGAAAGCATTATTTAATTAATTCAGAGGGACATACTTTTTGAATAAGATATAAGAGCATTTCCTGCTGGAACGCACAGAATTCTATGGTCAGTTAACTAGTTCTGAAAGCTAAACATATTTGAGGCAATCCTGAAAGCTATATATTCCAGGTTTTAGTTTCTTTCTAACTCATTCAAAATTTAATGATAAATAAGCTAGCCTTTGCAAGTTCACCAGATGCTGGGTGGCTTTATAGATAATATTTTTTGAGGATAAATGGACATAACCTTTCATCTTACACTCAGGATCAATGCAACATGTAAGTCCCATTCCCACTGTAATATAAGGGGAAATTTTCAAAAAATGTGGCATAGTATCGCTGAATCACTTACTCACTATCACAGACTGAACAAGGTTATAAATCTGAGTCTTTTTAAAAATTAAACTCGTCTATTACATATAATGCATTGCTTCTATTCATAAATTAAACATTTTGCTCTTGGGGAATCATTCTTGTACTGTATACATTCATGAAGGAATTTAATTAACTCAGCAACACTGAGGAACTTTTCTTTTGGATCTCTAAGTCTCAAAATAAAAATCAATACTATATTTTAATGCCCTCTCTTCCTGCTGGAATTGATGAAAGTATTTGTATCTAAAATAAAAGCAGCTTTCCCAATTTTTTTTCAACCACTATGTAGACAAGAAACCCTGCTCTACTCCATATGCTTTTTGAGAAGTTCACAAAGTGCTAATTCCAACCCCCACCCCCAAAAAGAAATTCTTCATTAATATTATGAATTATCAAATGTTATTTCAAAATCCACAATAAAGGCCAGTATTTTCCCTACTAATTCTAAAGATGACCAACCACTCTGTCAATGGGATACTGATCCAAAAAAATGGATTAAAATTATTTATAGACTTAGTTTAGCTTATATATCTCACTTTTCCTCCATGACTACATCACAATATGGCTCACAAGATTAATTTAAAAGACACAGATAGTCCATCAAATGACAGAACGGCCAACGTTTAAGTTTACTGGAGTCAACACTGATTATTATACACAGATCACTAGTATTTCATGAAAAGTCCAGGCATATTTCTGCATAGACACACCTACATTAAATTTCCATGCACTTCATGCATCTTCCAGTATCTTCTGCCATCTGTCCCTAGATGTCAGGAGCACAATTCATCACAGTCCTTTTTTTAAAAGGAGGATGAGTAACAATACTTGAATGCTGCAAGCTATTCCATCACTGACAACATTTTTTTTCTTCTCAAACCAGTTAGTGATTTTCTGTCACATGGAATTCTGTCTATACCTGAAGCTTGTCTGAAATAAGAAGTTAGCTGGATCACAAGCAGACGTATAAAATATGCAGGGTAAGGAAGCGAAACAACACGAGTAATCAGAATGTGATAGCAGTTGATGCTGTAAAGTAAATGTGTTCCTTCCTTGAGCCTGCAAGATGGTTAGCTAAAACACTCTAGCTATATACATGTAAACATGTATCAAATGCAACATGAGTCAAGTCCGTTCTAGCTGTTCCTTCAGTGTTATCTGAACAATTAAAGCATTCAGGGTCTGGTCTACCCAAAATCATGAAATTAGACACAGAAGATTTTCCCTAGATACATTTTTCAGCTATGTATGTTTTCCTATTAAGGGGCACAACACTAAGATACAATGGCTATGAATATACTGTTGGTGAAAAAACATGGCATATTTGAATGAGATAGCTTACTTGTATCTCAAGATAGCACTATATGTGGGAATGTTTATTGCTATCACTGCTTCCCATATTTCCCTATATCTTTAAGAAGTTGTGAGCCCAGGCCTTGCCAACTTGTCATTTACTACCTGTGAGTTATACCATGCTCCCTTACTTCTGCACTCCAAGCAAGACATCAAGATCAGCGGTTTTACTCAATGACAGGTGGGTTGCCATTTGTCTTCCCCTAAAGGTACTAGATCCTGAATGATCTTGGCAGCTATATAGCAGTGGTTCTCAACCTGGGGTCCCCAGATGTTTTTGGCCTTCAACTCCCAGAAACACCAACATCTAGTAAATTGGCTGGGATTTCTGGGAGTTATAGGCCAAAAACATCTGGGGACCTCAGGTTGAGAACCACTGCTATATAGAGTCACCCATGGTTAATATGGTTGGTAAACCCCCAATAAATACTAGGTTTTCATGGCTTCATTTCAGAGGAAGGAATTGGCAAAACAATTTTGGAGTATACTTTGCTAGGGAAAACCCCCAGAAATAAATGGAAACACCATAAGTCATCATGACCCCCTTCATACAACTAGCGTATTATGAACAGACAGCAATTTAGTTTCCTCTCTTTCAGTCAGTCTTTTTGAAATACTTGGAAAGAGCAATGGGTTGCACACCTGGGGCCTGATTTGCACCTTGTGAAGTGCAACGTCACAAAGAAGAAATGTCCTTGCTTGTCATGTACATGGTACATGGCAAACAGCCAATGAGGATTCTGCTAATTTCCATGGTTCGTTTAATTTTCCAATCTACTTGGTTGATTGGTTTTTTGGGACAGACTTGGCAAGGAAAGTTCTGAGAAAACAAACCCACCCTCAACATTTCTGTTGGTCCAAGACTGCAGATGTTTAGATGGCTGCGCTGCATATATGTTATGTACATAGCAACCTGTTTTGCTTAAAAGTTACCTGTGACACAATGGCCAAAAGATTATAGCAAGCTTTTGGTGCTTGTCAGTAAAGCTGAAGGGTTTAACACACACACACACACACACACACACACACACACACACACAAACTCTTTACCCAGGAAGAACTGTCTTTATAACAAACTGAGCAAAACATATCCTTACTTGATCAAAGCAAAACATGTCTGATATTTTATTTCTTCTAAAAACAGCCGACACATGGGGATTATTTGTAACCTGACTCTTTTTTAAGGCCATATACACTACTGCATTCTTTTAAAAATCATGTCCCATCTTTTTGCTGAAATGCTAAATAAATCATGAGCCAAGCTAAAGGTTGATTTCTCTTTTAATGCATAAGGTAAATAGGTTTTCTGGAGGCGTAATCCAATTTCTTAAATTTAATTTTGGAAAGATGCTACATAATATCCATTACAGCAAACACTGTCCTACAGATTTGATTAGCAGGCTCTCTGGACCTGCTCATTTTGGAGCCGAAAGTGCAGTGCAGCCTGGATAAATGAATTACCTGAGCAACGGAACTTCTTGCTCTTGATCTGGCTGATTCGTTTGTTGGCAAGGCGACGTGGGCTGCTACATCGAGCGCCGCTGGTTTCTATTGGATTATCCTGCAGGTAATCAGCCAGCCACTTCAAATGGCAGTCGCACACAAATGGATTCTGAGCTAAATGCCTGCAAGAGGGATGGGATGTTTAACCAGAAGTGACCTGTGACACTGCACTCCATCATTGTTTTTTACGCACACAAAACGGTGGAGTACAGTAATTGAATCAGCTTCCAGTAGAACAGGCGTAGCGGAAGCAGCATGGAATAGGGAACAGCACGTGAATGGGAGAAATTCTGTGATCCATCTTATTATGTTTTCTTTAGTTCATTAAGTCTGCAGTGAGCCTTTTCAAGAAGGAAACAAAAATTAATATAGCAATGCTTGCTTTTGAAGGGCACAAGAGTTCCATGCATAAATGCTAGAGTTTTCTGCTGGATAATACACTGCATCTAGACGTATCATATTAGAAATTCAAAGTTTGAAGGAATCGTTGTTACAACACCAAAGCTTTTTGGACATTAAGCTGCAGATATGCACAATAACACTGTACCTCAAGCATTTAGTCAAAGTCAATGGATAAACTAAAATTCATCTTAAACTCTAAAGATTGTTAGCCCTGATTAACGTAATAACAAAAATGGATTTGCTCTTATGATCCACATTTAACGTTTCAAACAGAATTCATCATAGAACTAGAAACAGACCAATATATCTTTAAAAAAACTATGGGAAATGGAAAGCAATCCAGCATTTATGGGAAACTAATACTAGAGTGAAAATATACATCATCCAGACAAAAATGATTTATATTTACACTGTGGAAATATTTACTTTCCACTTCCCTAACATGAGTTCATAAATTACAAAACTTTGACTCGAACTGGATCTTTCCTTCATTATTTCAGGTGTTTTTAATTTGGAATCCGTATATCCTCAGAAACACAATGGGTGGGATTCAGATTTTTCAAGTATTTATTGGGGTGGTTGCTTTATGTTTTTGCTTCAGATGAGTTCATGTGCATAAAAATACATTTCCAATTCAATAATATAATGTAATAATATTAAATGTATGCATTTCAATGCATTCTTTGGGAAAGGGGCTCGAAAAGTTTCATCAGATTTTTAATTGTCCCAAAGTGCCAAAAAGTTATGAATAGTTGTAATAATCAAATAATGAAAAAAAAAAGATAAAATTGCCTTTATATAAAATTTCCTTAGAGTGAATAGCAATCACTCTCTTTATAAACTATATTTTTGGGAATATTTTATGTGAAACACTATTTTATATCAGTTCATAGTTCTTGTTTGTCAAAATATTTTTTTGTAAAGAGAACATTAAATGTGTATATGAATATTCATTATTATAGCCCACAGTTTTAAATGAGGTGATACAAACCAAGATATTAATTCAAGGTCATTTAACATTGACACAGATCGATCCTACAATGAGTTGTTAATGTGAATCAGGTCTTTGTTGGATTAATTTCTATTTTGTGGTTTGTTAACATGCTAGGAATATTTGGCTGTAGAATGCAGTGAAGCCACTGGGTCTATGTGGTTGGGTTATACACACAAGAATTCTCATATTATACAGCAGCTGCCATTTTGAGGATGTGTTAAGTGGGTTCATTGTGGTAGTTTCTACCTACAAAGAACATTTTTGTAAAAGAATAACCAAGGGGACAGTTAAACTATGGGTGTTCAACAGTTTAAGTTATTGAGGGAACAGAAAGAGGTAAAAATTGTTGGCATCGAATTGTGCTGGTTGTAAGCCGCCCTGAGTCCCCCCTAGGGGGTTGAGAAGGGCGGTGTAGAAGTACTTGAAATAAAATAAAATAATAAAATAAAAAAATATAAATCAGTTCAAAACCTTCTCTTTTGTAAGACTTCAACAACCTCTTTCAAACAGTAGTTTAGCCAAAAACATTTCTGATGAAGCTAAACAACTCTTTGGTAATGAAGGGCTATTCAAGAATCTGTCATAATTGTATGCACATCTAATAGAAATAAAACAATTTTGTAACAGGGACTCTATGACCAAAAAAAAGGGGGGGGATATGATGATATGAAGCATTTAGTCAGATAGTGGGAATAGATTTATAAATGAAATTTCACTATATCTGAGATAAGGACTTTTCATAGGTAGTCAGGGCTTGGATCACACAAAGCAATTGATCAAAAGTTTCAAAAGTGACATAGTTTAATACCAAATTTACAAGCACAAAAATAGTATGTATTTAGCTAGACCCTTGGTTCCTGATCTTGGAACACATTTTTAATTTATTGTATACTTGCGTATAAATCAACCTCATATGTAAGTCATAGGCAGGTTTGGAGGGGCAAAATTAATTATTTTTATATACCACTTTAATAAGTCACAGATCCTTTCACAGATAGACAACTCTGCTATCTGTTTTGAAGGCCAGCTATCTTGGGCTACTAAAGCCACTCTTTCCCACTCTGCTCAAAGAAAGAGATGGTTGTTTTTTTTAATAAAAGTTTTGATACTATTCCATTATCCTGGTGGAGGCCACAAGTGGGTGCTAGACAGAGAAGGGCAGTCTATTTTTCAGGAGGGAAGGGGGTTGAAGGAGATAAACCACCCCCCTCCCCATTTTCCTGATATTTCCCCCACCCATGTCACTATTGTCAAAATAACCATTGTTTATGATATGGGGGGATAAAAGGGGAGATAACCAACAAAAATGGGGGCAACCCCCTCTCCTATAAAATGAACTACCCTTCTCTGTCTAGGCCCCCAGATAATGGAACATTACCAATTTTTCTTTAAAAAATAAGCCAACCCCTACCTCTTAGTGGAGTGGTGAAAGAACATAGCCCTTTTTAAATAAAGAGTCTAGGTATTGTAAATATATTGACTGTGGATAGGTTAACTTGAGGGAGGGGATAGATTTTTCAACTAACATATCTAGACTTATGTGTATACACAGTACATAACAACTTCCTCTTTCATTCTCGGGTGCCCAATCCACTTCTCTTTCTCTTCTAACACTTTTCTTTTTCTCTGATTCTCAAAGTCTCATTCATAACATTCATATGTCCTCTATCAAAATAGTCTCCCTCTTTTCTGCCCCTTATGAAGCTCTCTGTCACAAGAAAGTCTGCTATGAAAGGTATCATATACTTATATACTTACAGAGTTTGAATGGACTGGAGAGGCACAAAAAGGCCTTTGCTGATAGTCTGCAGTTTATTGTCATAGAGAGATAACAAATTGAGATTATGAAGGTCTTGAAATGTGTTCACTCTTAGGCAGTTGATCTTATTGGCATTGAGAAGCCTGTGAACAAAGAAAAGAGTTTTTAAATACAAAAATTCATTTTCAAAAGACACATGAAGCAAGGATAAACTCAGGAGATTATGCTCAGACAAAATCCTCCTAATGTTCACCTTTTTTTTTTTTTTGGCTAAATGACCTCGCTCAAATTAGGGTGCACATTAGATTCATGTCATATACTCACCATAGTACTGAGACAAAGCAAAAGGGGTTTCCACCTACTGTTTGTGGTACCCCATCTCTAATTTAATGGCCAAGGCTTAACGCTATGCGATCCTGGGATTTGTAGTTTGGTGAGGCATTAGCCTTCTTGGGCAGAGAAGGCTCAAGATTTCGTCAAACTACAGCCCCATGACTCCATGACACTAAACCAAGGGAATTAAAGTGGATTCATGTCACAGTATAGACACACGCAAACTTGTCTCTTCTATTGCTGGAAGCTTTGGTGTTATAGCACTTTTTTTTAAAAAAAGAGAAGGAATCCAAGAAGACAGCAACTAGAATGCACACCTTTTTTGGCCAAATAACAAAGAGTGCACTTTTTACCGCTGTGCAGAACATTCAGAAGCAAATCCTTTTTTTTTTTTTTTTGGTTTCACGGTTTGGAAATTGAGGTGTGCATTAGATTTGATGGTATATTAGACTCAAGTAAATATGGTATTACAAAGAATTAGGGATTGCAAAAAAAAGTATGGTCATATTTTAAAAAAAATAAAATTATTATAATACTTTGTGCCTCCAACCATTCCCCTCGTAAGAAAAAAATTAAAATATATAAAATCATACTATAGCAACCTCATTAAAACATGGACTGGGAAGTAGGTAAAACCAAAGATCAGAATTACACTTAAAATAATTCAAATACTTCTCAGAACAAAGACTAGACATGGAAGACAACAATAAAATTGGGATTCTGTGGAGTTTCCGTATGTCCAAAACCTCTGGAAGGCAAAAAGCTGAGAACCACTGTTCAAGATGAAAGGCCATTCCCTAACTCTTGCCCCAAACAATGTTCTTATACATTTATGATTTGCTTATTTATTATACATTCTTGTACATTTATGATTCCTTGCCAGCAAATAGCAGATCAGATCAAACTACATGTACCCTATTTGCAATAGGAAATAACTGTTCCCCTCCACAGAATTACAAACTATAGATTAGAAATTACAATTTCAAGTTTGTAATGCATATTTCAAGAGGCGGTAACTCCCCCTCCCCAGAATTAGAAATGTGAAGAGCACCAGGAAAAGAGGGAATGACTATTAAAACCAGATTGGGAAAATCTAGAACACATAAATGGCTGAAGAAGATTGTTCACAAATAACAAGCTTCAAGCAGTTTAACATATTTTCTTAATATCCTATACATGACACGCATGTATTATTCAACTTCACTTACGCAGCAGATCCAACACAGAATCTCTGCACTATGACCAATGACACATGAAACTGCTTTGAGCACTTTAAAAAGAGCAGCTCTTTTGACTGATTGGAATTTACAAGTTCAACTTGGCACATTAGGTATGTGAATGAGACTAGCAGACCACACATTTTTATTAAACGTATTGGTTGTGTCTAGGAATTTCACAGCACAGACTAGACATGGCCCCTAGGAATTTGATTCCTGCATCTTATGCAAATATTCGATAGCTGGTTATTTTAAAATTCATTGAATACAAAGAATAAATTAGGCACTACTATTTGAAATAATGACACTAACAATCTTCCTGACACTTTCCATTAAGATAAAGATTTCAAATTGTGTTCATGAAGGCAACGGGAAGATCTGGGCATATTCTGCCCTCCTTATGAATCTCCATGATACATAGCAATAGTTCACTAATCTGTACATGCACTTGCTTAAGGCGATAACCACATTTTGCTGAATGAAGCACATATTCCTCACAAATTACATGCACTTCCTTTGGAGCATGCTTCAGAATCCCCTTTAACAAGCAGGCATTCCATGGTAGATTCCAAGGGATCAATTCTAATCTTAAACCCAAACCTCTGATGAAACACGTGTGGAGACTGAAAATTCTAGCTACCTTATATATTCAAGTATAAGTTAAGCAATTTTATTTTTAAAAAGTTCAACTCCAAAAACTGGATCAACTTATCTGCGGGTCAATGTAAGTATTGAACCTTAACTCTTATTTTTAAAAAGGATCCATCACATTTCTCTGTATAGAGTGGCAAAAAGTGGGAGCTTAGTCTGTTTGAGGAGAACCTAAAAGAAGCACTAACTCCCTTTACTCCCATGGAACCACTTCTGGCCTTTTTGAATGCCTGGGTGGGAAAAAGGTGGAGGCAGCCATAGGTAGCTGACTCTCAGAGTTGACACTGATGCTTCCCTCTCTTCACAAAATAACGCTTGACTTATCCATGGTCATATCAAAATCCATAGTATCAGCCCCAAAATCTACCCTTGGTTTGTGATTTATGATCCTGTTTTGTTCTTTATTTGTTTTTAAAAAAAACTAACTACGGCTTCAACAAAATGTGGCAATCTGTGGCTCTACTGATGTGACAATGCAAAGTTCACAAACCCCAACCATTGAAATTCTGGTTGGGTTTGACTGGATTTAGAATCCAACAACATCAGCAAGGCCAAAGGATCCCTAGCAATATATGCAGGAGCATGGTCGCTGGTGAAAGCCTTGGAGTTAAGCTAGTATTCTGATGCAGTACTAATCTTACATGCATAGCTGGTTCACTACAACTATGCATGTAAGATTAACTTTTGCCTTAACATTACACCCAAACAGATTTCAAAGTTCTTGTACATTATTATTTAGAATACTGTTCCTTTTCAACACACTAAAGTTTATATTAGATATAGTATTAATCTACAATTAGTGAGAAAATAATGTTTGGATATTTCAAAATGAATGTGCGAAAATAATGCTGGTTTAAAATAACAGGTATACCTGAGTGTGGACATCATATAAGAACAATTCCAAGCATTTCATATTCACATCTTATTTTGAGCTTCCAATCCCCCCCCCCCCCCTTGGATAGAACAGAGATGCCCTCAACAACATTTTAATTTTCTGATCAATGAAGACAAGAGAGCAACTGATTTGAGAAGGACTGGATTGATTTTAGTTTGAATGTGTGGCCTCAACACACAGGAGCATAATGGTTTCTGTCGTTACCAGATAGACAAGAAATCATTTTAGGTATACTAATAAGCTGAAAGATTATAAGAGAAAAAATAGCACTGAAGCTCTACAAAATGATTGCTCTTTTCTCTTCCATTTTTTTTAGTGTGGCACCATTAACTATCCTTGTTTAATCAATAGCCTCTATCTATGTAGTATAATTAATGATGCATATCCTGAATCACAGGTATATAAAAAGAAAAATGGACAAAACTTCACAGAGCTAAATTCAAACAATTGCAGTAGCAGGATTCAAGAAAAAGTGGTGCATTTAATTAAATTGTAAGAATAAATCTGAGCAGAGATGGTTCCCCAGAAGACTGAGTCACTGAATTGGAATCTATATTTCACTTTCAATTCAACTTGTTGTTCATACATGCTATCTTGGACTTCCTATAGGAAGGTTTGGATAGGAATTGCACCTAGATATTTGATGTGATATTTTTAATTGGTTGATTTTTAATGTTTTAATGTGTTTATTTATTGATGATATGTGAACATGCGGCATTAAATTGTTGCCTCTGTAAGGCTGCCCTGAGTCCCCTTAGGGATTGAGAAGGGCTAGGAGATGTGCTGCAGTATTTTTTATTTGGCTGAGTACTATTTGAGCCTAAATAAAGTCCGTTGTCACACTTGTCTGTCTCTGGGTATATTTGAAAGGTCATGATCTACCTCCTCCCATGGGACTACCTTTATGTATATAGTATGCCATTAGTTTACCAGTTAAATAATCTAAAGAAATATTGACAGTGTACTTCAGTGGAATTTTCTAGAAATTGATAAAGTTAAAATGATGATGATCACTACAAAATCAGCTTAATGGGGCTTTACTCGATATGACATAAGTAACAGCACTAAATGAAACATCCCTTTCCCTCTTAAAACATACCTGAAAGAGCCTCCATCCTCTCTTAAAAACATAGTATATATTGTGCCAAAATGTTCCATTAAACCTTTCAAATTTTCTTGCTCCTTTCTTTCTGAATTAATAAGAAAATGATCTAATTTACAGCCAAATAAACACTCAATTAGATCTCATGAGAAAACACTTCTCCAATTGTTTGGCACTAGATTGCAATGTACAGGTTGTCGGTTCAGACATACAGAAAATATTGACACGTTCAGATTATTAAAATATTGAATAACAAATTAAAACATGCAGTTATTAGGCAGATGTCCTAAAATAATGTGTAGGTATTTTCTAGTTCCTGTTTTTATGTTAAAATAAGTCCCATTCTACAAATGAAAGCAATACAAACACACACACACACAGAGTGTATCAGTTTCAGAATGAATGCTGGATGTAAAAAAATTAAAATTGGCAAGTAAATTCCAAGTGTGAACTAAATTACTAAACCATGATTAGAATGGGAAACATCCCCTCCAACCTTATAAAAGTTTGTACTGTAGGGCCTTTGCAAAAAACACCCATATGAATAATTTTTCCATAAAATCACAGAAACCAGTGAGGTGGGGCTAAAGGGCTGCATTTGGGCATTCCACATCACCTTGTAGAGTTGTACACACAACCAGTTGTGTTTTAAAGCTCCCCAAATGTGCATTATTCCCCATGGAAATCATGGTGTAGGGGGTCATGTCTATGGATCCCCTTCTACTTTTGCAAGCTGAGAGGAAGTCCCCTTCCAGACATTAAGTCAACCAGAAGTCAACCAGAAAAAGAGACCTCTATGTGGCCCAAAACAGCCTGAGAGAACACCTTTGTATCCACTCTTGGCAAGGGCACTCCCCCCCCCACACACACACACTGGCTTTGCCAAGTGGGAAGGCTGTTGGTGGTCCTTGGGACTTATAATGAATGTGAGTGGACATATAAGGCACACACCGGCTACATATACCACATGGAAATAGGGGAAAGGACCTTCTCTCCTTTGGTATACCAGCTGTGATGATAGTTTCCAAGATCTGAGCAGGACTGTTGACAACAGGGTGACTACGAGGTCTCTCAATCATAAGAATCTCTAAGTCAAAATCAACTTAATGGCAATCAACACAGTAACAAAATGGATACACAAACTATCAATCAATATGCTGTTTTGTTAAGTGTTAATTATCAACATAATCATGTCATTTGACATAGTTCTGGTTTCACATCATACTCATCTCAAATAGGAATAAGAAGATTAAATTCATGTATGGGATTTTTAATCTACAAGATACCAAATCAGTATTTAACCTGCTGATGTTAGGGTTTCAAACTTGTAAAAATCTTGAGCACAATGAAAGAAGCAATTATAATACTCACAGCAACTGCAGAGACACAAGCCCATCAAAAAGGCCTTTAGGAATCTCTGTAATCTTATTTCCATAGAGTACTCTGCAAAAGATGAACATCCAAAATGTATTTATTTATATACTTATGATATTTATATTCCGCTTTTCTCTACCCCAAGGGGACTCGAGGTAGCTTACAGTTAGGAAAAAATTCAATGCCTTAACCACAGCATACAATTAAAATACATTTGAGATAAAATTAAAAATCAACATTAAATACATTAAAACATTATAAAGCATTATTATCATTATAAATCATGCAATCCGCAGTCATAGTCCAAGTCATTCTGATAGTCATTGCATATAATTCCAATAAATCTATTGCACTATGGTTCTTCTCTGAAGGCTTGATCCCAGAGCCATGTTTTAATTCTCTTTCTGAAGGTCAGGAGGGAGGGGACTGATTTAACCTCGCTGGGGAGGGAGTTCCCCAGCCAATGGACTACCACTGAGAAGGCTCTGTCTCTCATCCCCACCAGTCGCACCTGCGAAACAGGTGGGACTGAGAGAAAGGGCCTCTCCGGACAATCTTAGATTCCAAGATGGTTCATAGGGGGAGATCCGTTTGGATAGGTAAGCTGGGCCAGAACCATTTAGGGCTTTATAGGATAAAGCCAGCACTTTGAATTGTGCTCGGTAGCAGACTACCAGCCAGTGGAGCTGATGCAATAGGGGGGTTGTGTGCTCCGTGTACGCTGCTCCTGTGAGCAATCTGGCTGCCGCCCATTGAACCATGAATGGCATGCAAAGATCAGCCTTCTGTTTAAGCATATTAACTGAACTGACCACCCTTGCCAAAATGAGGGGCAGCTCACTTAAAAATATAACTATAATTACAACAGTCGTAACAGTCCTATATAATTAAACATCCTGATGGAGTCTTTTGTTTTGAAAATCTTTGCACACAATGAATAATGTATTAGTACTCATTTTGTTTATGACATTTCTTCTCCAATACAAAATGTTTTAAAGGAAACAATACAATGCAAAACATGTATAGTTTGTTGTACATTTGATAAATAACAACACCACTGATTTCAAATAAGCAAATGAGTACCTAAGAATTGCCCTCCATCAGTTACTGTCTTTGTGGGATTGCTAAATTCAACAACACATTCTTTTTTGTAGCATCAATTTTCTACTTTGCAAAAAAGCACAAAGTAAACTAAGGTGATATAATTTGAAATTGTGAGAAAACAGTTGAACGTGAATGTTAAAACTGATTTCTAGAAGGGGAAATATCTTTGGGGTGTCATGGGTTATACATTGCATAGAGCTATATAAAGAAGACATTTCATCAAAGTACAAAGCCAAGACCCTCTACTCAGCTATGGAACCCCACAGTGACACCTTGTTCAAGTCATACTCTCTCAGCCTCAGAAAAATTCTTCTCTCAAAATATCTTGCCAATAAACCCCTATGATTGGTTTGCTTAGGGCTGCCATAAATTTGAAATTACTTGAAGTCACACATGAACACTATAAACCTCTTGTTTAAGAGTTAGATTAGCATTGTGTAAAACCACATATTAAACCTTTGAAAGGAATCTGCAAGACCATGTAAGTTCCATAAGGAAACAATCAGAAGAGTGATAAAAGGTTCACCCTCAAGGGGAAAAAAATCTTGTAGGAATATTCAGATAAACAGCTGCTTTGGATATTAGAAACCTCAAGGAACAAAAAACAAAAAACAACCCTTTATTCTCAAAACAACTGAAGACATCTCAGCCAAACACTTTCAAGGAAAACTATTATTGTAATATTCCAGTTCCAGCCAACAACATCTTTGTTCATCTCTGGCAGCCCCTCAAAATGATAACACACTTTTACTCATTAAATAATAATGTAAATGTGAACCGCATGCGATATACTAAGCACTTGGATCTAAGCTAATCTAACTTTTAAAAATGAGTCAGAATCAGAATAGAAAAAAAAATCTACATTTCATTCAGATCTGAAATAAATTCTCTCATCACTGAACTTCTAAGAACCAATGTGACACATCACACACAATGTCTCCAGACAGTCTGGAAAAGGTCTTATGAGCTCTGGCAAAGCCAAATTAAATGTGCAGAAAACTTACTGGCACTCTTCAGAAGCCTTAGATACTGTGTGCAAAATGACTGTGAGTCCTTGGAGGACTGTGATATATCTGTCTTTGCTATTTATTTATTTGTCGTGTCAGGTCTTTGCTGAAATTGCTGTTAACATGTAACATATTCTGAGTCCTCAGAAAAGAGTGCACGACAAATTTGAAGAAAATAAACCAAATAATTAATAAACAAAAAGCAGGTGTTAATTTCTTATCCAATAATAATGTGGTTCACTAATATCAAAGCTAAAGATTCGATTCAATTAAATAAACATCTATTTTAGTTTTGTGAGTTCACAGAGGACTAAGAGAGATTTTGTAAAACTGAGAGCTGGGTCACCCGTCACTCTCAGCCATGGTTCAGTATGAAATGAATACAGAGGAAAAAGCCCCAAATCTTAAGTTCTGATCACATTTTATGACAAAACCTTTGTGTGTTTACATTCACTTTCCACAAAGCCTGGCTTTTCATTATATACAATCTGGGAACATACAGGTTCTAAAAAAGCCAACTTCAAACCAGAGCTTTATCAACGTTACATGCCAATTGGATCCTTAGCCTCTATGACTGCAATAACAATGAAAAAGCAACTCAACCTAACTATTTATTGATTCCAGCTGTAGTCCAAAAACCTATCTTATGCAATCAGGATGGAGGGAATCACCAATAAGACCTCAGATTTACCTAATCTTATCTTGCTACCTTCTGCATTGTTTTATATTGTTTTTTTCCAATTGATTTGGGTCATAATTTTGTGTCTTACTTGAAGGCACATACCATGTAAATGTCTATGACCAAACAAAACCTATTCATTTAGTCATGACTGAAAGAATACACAACATGAAGTGTGGCAGGGTTTATAAAAAGAAGCAAATCATGAAGATCCGATCATGGAGATCTCAAGTAATTTTAGAGAAGTAATATATTTAATGTTTCTGTGATCATTTAGATATTGCATTAAACATGTATGAGAAAGATCTTCCCAGATTGCTCACAAAAATGATGCTCTGGAACGTCATCCTCAGGTAACAGTTTTTAACTGGAAGGAAAGTGTTACGAGTCTATCTGACTAGCAAATTAGCAATCCTGCTTCTGAATGGAAGAGATCTCTATTCACAAATAGGATGATTGGATCCCAAGCCACTCTGAGAGAGTGTACTATTACTCAGGTAAAATTACAGTGCAATTTCAGTAAACGTATGACCACAAAGGATAACGGAAGCATATGTTATTTACAAAATGACACTGTATTTCCCAGGAGTTACAATATAGCAACATTGGATTTATTTCATTTTATTGTTGTTATTTGAATAAGACAGGGCTTTCTTTCAGGCAACACTTTTTGGAGCGTTTTTAAATCACAAAATTTCGACAGCAAACAATTTGTTCCAACAAACACTTAATCACATTCAGGTCAAAGATATGAGGTTTCTTTTTTAGAATGGCTGACAGTTGAAATTCTGTTTTGCATAGCAAGCAGTTAAGGAAACTAAATAATGTACCTGGTACATGGGAGTCAAGAAGGGTTGAAGCACTAGGCAAAAAGCAAACAGAACTGGCAACTGGGCTGTCAGTGACTTTTTATTTGACTTTGTCAGTAACCAAGCTATGCTAACAAAGCATGTCAAAAGTAGCATGGGGTCTTACCTTGGCTTGATGCTGTTTTAGATTTATCTTGATTAGAGTTCAGGCAGAAATTGTGCATCAAATATGAAACAAGGACTGAGGCAATCTTTGCTATGAAAAAGACCCCAGCACTCTAGTACTGGTTTTGTCCTCACTTTCTTTTTAATCACAAGTCATACTTGGGCAGAAGGGAAATGGACTCTCATTCAAATTTGGACCATTGGGGAAGGTCCATAACTTATTGAAGACCACAGATCTTGCATCTAAAGATTCCTGATCCAAGCCTCAAAAGGAATAATGGAGTAGAAAGGGGCTCCATGAACAATAGAGTTCAACCCCCTCCCCTCCCATCCCAGCTCAATGCAGGATCTCCAGATAAAGCACCTCAAGCAAGTCGTTGTCTAGTTAGTCTCAGGTAGCAGAGCTGGCCTAGACCTATGGGTGAAAGACTGGAGGAAAGGTGTTGCCTAAAAATAGCAGGTAGAGGGCTAGAGTGGGAAGTTCTTTTTATGGACCACAATTCCAAGAATCTCATGAGAACTGGCCGTGTTTGGGGATTCTGGCAGTTATCACCCAAAACTTGTAGTCCACCAAAAATAATAAAGCTTGAGGGTACACAGACTGGTGGGCTAAGTCTGGATAATATAGATCCATATGCTGAAATAGGTACAAAGCCCATTTAAAAGAAACACTGTTTCTAAAACTGATCAACACAAATGGGGGAAAAGGTAAGTTTTTTTTAAAAAAAAAAACCCAAATAGGGTGAGCATTCAGACATGGGATTCCTCACATGATATCTGTATAGGAATAATTTTATGCTTTGTTTCTAGATGTTAATTCCAAATCTGACTACGTTGTTACACAAATGTTTAGCATAAAACATAAGTACAACACCACAGGAAATAGTTTATGTGATTCATACATCCTGCCAGGTGATTGCATTGACTTCCCCCACATAAACAAAACAATGGTGCTACACTGAAACATTAAGCACTGAGGCCATTAAAACTGGAAGTATCTTGTTCGGCAGAGGAGGATTATGGAAATGCAAATGAAAAGAAACATAGTCAGTTACGTGTTTGGCAGCTTGTAGCATACAAAATAGGATCTCACAACATCAAGGTCCTTATGCTGGCATTTCCTAGTCAGAGATATTGGCACAAATATTTAAGCTTGGACTGCCAATGCAAAGAGTGCTGGAGTGCTGCCATAATATAGTATTATGTTTATTTCCCAGTCAATCAATTTTTGTGGCATTTGATTAAACAATTCACCAAGTAATTATTCAATAAAGCACATAATTTAATTTTACTTTTTCCTTTTCTTTAATGGAAAATAAAGTAATGGCTTCATTTGTTGTTGTTTTGTGGCTTAAAGTCATTTCCAACTTATGGCAACCTTGTCATAGAGTTTTCTTGGCAAGATTATTCAGAGGGGGTTTGCCTTCCCCTGCTTACTTTCACCCATTCGGTTTCCATGACTGCATTGGCATTCAAATTTTGGTCTCCATAGACATAATTCAGTGCTAAAAACACCACACCACATTGGATCCAACAGCTTAGTGCTCATAAACTATCAATCATGAACAGTATATTGTGCTATGGCCAATTATTGTTTCGTAGTTAAAATGACAAATTTATGTTCTTATGTAAAATTAAACTGGGCTAGAAGAACCTATGTGTGACTTATGTAATCATAAATGAAGTCATACATACATGGCCTTTGAACACTCTTCAAAGAGTTTTTAAAGAAGAAGAAAGACAAGTAGCAGCACTGTCACATAGATTCATTAAATTCCAGTCCAACTCCATTCTGCCATGCAGGAACATATACTCAAAGCACTCCTGGCCGATAGCTGTTCAGTCTCTGCTTAAACATCTCCAGAAAAACAGTCTCCATCACACTCCAAGGAGGCAGTGTACTACACTGCTGAATAGCTCTGACCTTCAGGAAGTTTTTTCCTAATTTTTTAGGTAGACTCTCTTTTTCTTCAGTTTGAATCCATTGCTCCATGTCCTATCCTAGTCCCTGGTGAAGCAGAAACTAAGCTTGTCTCCTCCTCATTGTGACATCCTTTCAGATATTTAAACATAGATATCATTGTTGTGGCTCAGCAAACAGAAGAGGATTTTTCTGTTGTTTCAAATGATCTTTCAGAGGATAAGGGCATGGGTAGGTTGCAAAATGAAGAGTCTGCAAGGGAGAAGAAATACTTGCAGGATGAAGAAGCTGTTGTGTGGGATTCCAATTCTCGTTCTCAAGCAACAGAAAGGGAAGATTGCAGTTCCCTTTTGAAATGGCCTTCAGATGATAGTGAGCTTTCATGACAAGCCAGTTTGAGAAGGAGGGAGTGAAAGATAGATTAATTAGAGGATCCGTGAAAAGTCCTTGAAGCCCAGGTTTGTTCGGCATGATCTCATGGCCTCTTGGTCGAGCTTAAATTAAGGGGTGTTTTCTCTGTGCCTCTCAAAGGAGACAACTTTTTCTAGTTTTGCCTATGTACCTTGAAAGGTTTGCCTTGGAGAAAGTTCCTGTTTTCATGCTTATGGATTTATGCTCAAGATTTTGGCTCTCTTGTCTCCAGGTACTTTGACATTTTTGGTTTGCTTCCATTTTGTATTTTCTATTCTACCTCACTTTTGGGAAATCCCTTTTTCCCTTTGTACATGCTTTTTAAAATAAACTATTGTAGATAGAACTGCTGCACTCTGATGTGGTGCTGGGTGAAAAGGTGTCTCAAGGCTAGAGTGCAACAATCATGTCCTATCTCAATCTTGATCCTTTTCTTCAACAAACTAAACATACCCAGCTCCCTCACAAACTGTGCTTACTTACAACTTAGACTCCAAGTACCCATGCTTTCCACAGGTCTTTTACATCTAGATGGCCTGAACTGAATAAAAAGATGGCACATGACAATGCCTCACATGCCCAGATCATGTACTGAGTCATGTAGGTTTACTGTATGGTGAGCAGAACTCTCCTCTGACCATTTTCCAATTAGAAATTCAAGAAACAAACAGTTCCAATACACAGTATGAATCCTTTAGCATAGGATGGCAAAAGTGCAGACTTGAGAAAGGAGCAGATATTTCATGAGGCTATAAGGATAATATGAAGCATCTTTGCTCATTCCCAGAACTCCACCTTCCTAATCTGGAACTAAATGGTCCTTTAATGGGAATTACATTAAAGAGTATGAGCCAAAATAGAACAACTCAGATTGTGGTGTCACACTAAGTCATCTCTGATACGTCCACAGTTAAATCTGGAAGTAATTATCATATCTTGGTCTGGCCTTGATAATGAACTTCACTATGCAGTCTTAAAATGGGCTGTAGAGAGGTGAGGAAATCCTCACTATATGTTTTGTATGTATATGTGTGTGTGTGGGGGGGGGGCATAAAACAACTCCTTAGGGGAGGAAGGAAATGAAGTTCTAGTGTTACTGGTGGTATATTGTCAAATTTAGATTGTTATTCCATACTGGCTTGTTATTCCATTATGGCTTTTTAAAGTTAACCCAGTAATTTGTAACAAATGAAGCACTGTTTTCAGATCGAACAATACTGGCCACACTTGCACGGAAAGGAATGCTACATTACTCTTTAACTTTAATTTTCAGAAAGATGTCTCATTTTGATGGAAACTACTATTCTACTCTGTTTAGGCTCATCATAGTAGGGTGCCTTTCATGGCTTTTGTGATATTCCAAGCACTGATCCAGGTTATTAAGGTTCTTTGCCAACCTGACTCCTATGGCAACAACTGCTGGCAGAGCTATGCCATGCATGCTCAGTTTCACTCTGAAGCTAGAACATGTCAGTGGTCCAGTCTTTTCAGATTCTGTTTTTATTTCAATAGTTATGAAAAGTTTGCCAAGATGTGTAACTTTACTTTATTGTTGAACATTACAAAATATTTTAATCATTTTTAAGCAACAACACAAAGCACTTTGTAATTTCCCATATCTAGACCTATAATTTACAAATTCTGATATATTTTCTGAAAAAATATTTATTTTCTGGGCTCAATTTGGCAAGATATCCTTGTGGGATGCTATATTCTCTGTTTATACTAACAACACAGCTCGGGGTGTTGGGTAAAAGAAATACACCATGTCTGTACTTGTGTTTTAAAGACCTACATAATTAACCTTCACAGGGTGTCCATCTATACAAGGAATCTAGAATTGTATAAACAATGGCACCTTCAGCTCTGATCAATTTCCAATTTAAGAGAGATTAGGTTCTTCACTCAAGGTGACAATTGTACAGGGAAAAGGAAAGCACCACAAACCAGTCCTTTACTTATTTGTTTTTAAGGCTCTCTGCAAACCACCCTTTCAAGGTTACCTTCTACTTACAATGAGGTGAGAGATTTCAAGCCATGAAAAGCATCTGATGCAATATCCGATATTTGATTCTTGCTGATATCACTGTAAGGATACACAAGGGAAGAAGACATGGTACCAATGAAAACACAATTTACTAAAATGCCCCAAGCTTTTGGAAACAATTTATTTTTTAGATAACAGCAGCATCCAGGCCAGACACACTTAATGCTCTTAATTCTGTTGAAAGAAAGAGATGCTGGTTCACTGCAAAGGTGGTGCATATGATACCATCAGCACCAACTGCTTATGAAATAACAGCATCACTTGCCTAATAACTGAAATCCACACAGCTATATTGACCTCTATATACACTTCACTATAATCATTAAAGCTTAAAAACCAGCTCTTATTGGAGGGCCACAACAATCCTTGTGCCGTCGCGCCTGGGGCTATAGAGGAAGAGACATGGACGTGACTGCTTTCCCCAGGGGATTGCTTCTTGCCCTCCTTTAGGGAACTGGAACTCCCAAGGACCAGAACACAGCAATTGACTTGAAATGGTGTTTATTGTTAACAGTTAGTTCTCTTTTTGGGTACAACTTGTGGTGTTTCAACTGGGAAAAAAACTTTATAAACTCTAAAGTCCAGGGTCCTAGGAGTAGTAAGCTGAGAAGCTTTTTCCTGTTCCCTCTCTCTCAATGGCTATGGATGCTGGAGCAAACCACAACCCCAGTTCAGTGGCCTAAATTGAAGGACAAGACCTTCCTATGGTGCCAAAGAACTGGTGTGAGGGCGCCTGAGGTCTTCACATGTTCGTTCAGGGGGTTTGAACATAAAGAATAAGACTCAGGGGTAAAACTTAAGAACTGGTAGTAAAAAATGCCTTGACCAGGGGCTTTTGGGCCAAGCTTTTGGACACGTCCATCCAATGAGTCTTTTACTGAGGTAAAAAGGGTGAGGGAGAAACCTTCCCTTTCTCCCTTGGAAGGGGCGGAGCCTAAACAACAGAACTAGGGAAACAAGCCAATTGGTGCACAACAACAATAAATTGACAGCTATAGTAACCAATGAAATTTAACTATACATGTACAAGGTAAACAGAAATAAAATGGCAGTTTAAAATCCTGCAACTAACAGTTCTAAGTATATGAGGCGCCACACGCGCCGTCACAATCCTCACCCATCTAGTAAATTCTGTCTCAGAATTATACCTATCGTTCCCTCTTACCATTTTTTAAGAAGACCATACGCTTTTAGTGAATGTGATCTGATTATAACATTTACACTCTTACGATGTAACAAATCCTATAGTAACTTACATGGGAGACAGTTACAATAAGACTGTCTTGAGTGATAACCTGAATGTAGGTATACTTCATACCACCACCCATACAACTTGCGCATACAAATAATAGAATAATTTAATAAAGATGATGGACTCTAGCAATGTTACACTGTGTCTGTGTGTATTTGCACTGTGGGTGCTTAAGCAACATTAATTCTACAGTATAGATTCACACTCCCTCTCCTTCAATATTAGAAGGCTGTTCCAGACTTACAAGACTCCTATACAAACGGTTAGTCCTCCAAGGAGTCCCTGCAAAATACATACCTTCACTGGTTTCATCACCTAACTTTTGCTTAGACTTTCTAGCCCTCTTTCTTCCTGGGAAGGTTACAAGCATTACACACACAACGCTTGCCATCTTCTAATAGTTTAAATGTTTTAGACAATAAATGCTGGCTTCAGTAATTGAAAATAGATCCAGACTCTGAAGATAATATTTTGTATTGTACAAGTTTTGCAAAAAATGCTCTGTTGAAAGCATTCCCCAGACTGTGACTTGAATTTTCAAATTTGCAACTTTCTTTCTTCATCTTTTGAGACAGTTTGGAACGTAGGCTTCTTGGGGAATCTTTGAAACCTCTTTACAACCCCCCCCCCCACCCCAAATCTTTAAAACCTATCATCAAATACCAGATAGGTTACACACTGGCCAGATGTCTTGACAAAAGGTGGTACCGCATAAATTTTTGAGCTTTTAAATCCAACTTTTGTCGGAGGCCCTGGCAACTCTGACCAGTTTGAAATCTGCACTTACCACATTTTTAATATTTCATACTTTCTTTTTCTAAAATGTAAATTATTAAAAGCTCTTTTCTATTTTTAAAACTAGACAAGTCAATCTTGATGTATTTCATGAAAACTGCCACCCTGCTATTTTGATATGGAACAGCTTTATGTGAACATGTTGCCATGTTGGAAAATGCAAACAAAACAGAATAGCGCTGTTGGCCTTTTGGGAATTCTTCATCACTTCTGTCATTCTTCTAAACCAAAAGCTCAGTAGGTCAACTTACACGCTTCTATCAGGTTATCTCTGAGTACAGAGTTGCAAACACATGACCTAAGGGAAGCATTTTTAATGATAACAGCTGAAAATATTGCAAAATGGATTTTGACTGGAAATTTCAGAAAATAATCATGGATGTTTAAACCCTTGGCATATCTTAGGTTTACAACTCTTTACCACAAGTACAGGACAGCTATACCCATATTTACCATGCAAGTCCCAATTTGTACAATAAGACTTACTCCCAGGAATGGCTATTTTTCCTTCATTAACAATAGTACTGTGACTTCTAGAACTTTTTGTACAACCATCAGAATCATATTGCTGCTTTCAAATCAAATGAAACATCAGGACTGCTAATAACAGTCTACAACTTTCTCCCTAGTAGCTTTCTGAACATAAATATAGCCATGTTTTGCTTTCTTTTACTACTGACATAAATTCAAAGTAATTATATTGAAGTCGCTGGATGTTTCCAAGACTACAACTAGCAGATATTTTAAAAACCCTATAACTCACTATATTTACTTAAAAATTAAAGCAATTTCACATCAAACATAAAGGCATACAATTACCATATCTAGAAAATTACTCTTACAAGAGCTGTCTTTCCAGCTCTTAGAATGCTGAGTTAAAATTAATTTTCCAAATAAATTGAAACAAATACCTGGAAGAATTTCCTTTGACAAAACAGTTTGTATTAAAGTGAGTTGATATGATAAAAGTATTCTCATGTAACAGAAGGGAATCTAGCTGTTATTAATGTTTTATCATCATGCACCATTAAAGCACCAGTTAATAATAACTGCAATTCCACTTTACTGGTGCCCAGCAGCTGATCAACACAAACCATATAAAATGATAGTGTTTGGAGGCACTTGAAAGTGCTTCCATCCCTCTGCTACAAATAAATCAACCTTGGGAGAAATGTGGAGATTCAAACAATCAATGCAACACATTTCCTCTTTCTTTTTAGAAAGAGAAGCCTTACTCCTTTCCTTTTTCAGACTCTAATCTCCCAGAATATGATATAAAGTAAGAGGAATTTGTGCTCAAAGTTTTGCAGGGCTCTTTGTCTGAATGTATGAAAAAACACTCTACTCAGGCTTAAGAATATTCCCCCCCCCCCCCACCACCACCACTTTTCTTATAAAATAAAATACATAACTAATGTGCATTGGATGGATGGAGGGAGGGAAGGAGGAGGATAGAGGACTACAATTTTAACACTGGGTAGTCCAGGCTGGGAAGATAAAAAGCAAAGTTTTGTTTTTAAAAAAACAAAACCTTGGACTTTAGGCAATGTATTGGCGTTATTCTCTAAACTGGAGTCTTGTAGATTTTCTATGTTTAGGAGCCTCTTTAGAGTGTTGAAAATAACTGAAACCCAAGAGTTATAAAAAGATAGTTCAAGGGCACAGCTACTGGTTGCCAATGGAACTGAACTTGACATTATCAGCTACAGATTACTGGTGCCATTTTATATTTATACTTAAGTCTTCCTTTGGCAATTGCTATATTCTTTGCTACAGAGAACTTATTTGTATTTGAAAGCTCTTGTAACTGACCTCTCCTAAGGGTTGGTATCTCTGAGTAGCCATGCTCCAAGCAACTCTATTTACTTACTTCTGTTTTAAAAAGGAACTGTCTTCACTGATATCCCTTTTACCAGCAGCAAAGATCCTTCTTATTTAGTCAGGCTTCTGGTGTTGTACGAGATTCTACTAATAGGTTGCTCTAAAGGTGTATTTAATGGGTGGTGATACTATACCGTTGCTATGTTTTCAATAGGCCTATTAGTTTCATAGTTTCAATAACTTTAATTCAGTGTCTATTTTTAATATGACAATTTATAAATTTATAAATTTTCTTTTATATTGCAAGTGATTGCTTTTCAGCTATCTGTCTTAATTCAAGTTAAAAACTGCCTTGCATGCTGCACTGGGAGAAAGGTAGGCTGTAATAAGAATGAATGAATATGCTGAAAATGAAGTCTATAAGGACATGCAAGTTAATAACTGTCATGTGTGCATGCGGTGCTTTTTGCTATATGTAATGCATATTGCTCTGAGCTAGCAACGTTTTTCTCCACATTAGTGCCCACTGAGCTGCAGCTACAACGGTAAACATTAACAGTTTTATATATTTGAGCACCGATGATACTTACATTCTTTTAAGTTTTTTGTATTGAGAGAAAGCTCCAGGAGGAATACTTTTGATGGAGTTCTGCTCCAAGCGGCTACAAAGAGAGTGATAAATATGAATGTCACAATGGCAAAGCCAAAAGAAACAACTGCTAGCATTTATTTCTTTTCCAGTGTACCAGGTGCATTTCCAAGCTAAACCCTTCCCCAAGGAACATACAAAGAGCATAGCAAAACAATGTTAAATTGGCATTTTTGCAGTGTGCCTTAAAATCATTTCTGACTTATGACAACACTAAGGTGATGCTATCATGGGGGTTTCTTGGGAAGATTTGTTTCCATTGCCTTCCTCTGAAACTGAGAGAGTTTGACTTGTTCAGGATCACACAGTGGGCTTCATTGGCCAAGTGAGAATTTGCACCCTGGTCCTCATAGCTGTAAACCACTATACTACATGTTCTCAACTGGCATTATAACATTGCAAAAGCCCTAGCAAAAGTACAGGAGCCACAGAAATCGTTCTTTAAAAAATATTAACAGGCAATCTCAAACTGGTGAAGGGGGCTAAATAGATAAACAAACTTCTGTTAGGTCATAGTTCAAATAATTTTCTGTTAATACCAAAAGAAGGAATGTAAGCAAACATTCTCCACCGAAAAAAAAATATCCAGAATGATTCTAAGAGTTTTTTAAAGCACAAACAAGAATGGCCTAGAGTCCTAGGTTATATTCTACAACTTTATATAAACTACATGGGAGAAGATAGTGTGAACTAGATATCTTGGTTCTGAAGATTCCCTTGAAGGTACTTTCAAGCACTATAATTCTATTATTTGTTTTGTTCTGCTAGGAAACAGATTCTTTGCCCTTTGGGAGGTTTATTTTTAAGGTTTCAACAACTGTTCAGGTCAAAGGACAGGGGCAATTTCCTTCACTCTCTCGAATAAAACAGCAAAGTCTAGAGAGAACAGCCTGATGGATTCAGTTTTTTTTCCTGAACATGATGTGGCATTAAGTAACAAGTCCCTATGTGTTCTGGCACTCAAACCATTTTTGTTTTAAAAAGAATGTGCTGTCTAAACCACACACTTAACAAAATTGCTGAAAACAGCAGGAGTAAAAAAGATGCCCTAAAGGTTGACAATCTTCTTTCAGCCAAGAAAATCGGAACCAGGAATCCTGTCTGAATGAATCTCAAGGTTCAATACTTTTCATCGCCTCCTCAGTCGATACATGAACATTTTGCACACAGGTTGAGACAGCAGAGGGGAGAGTATCCAATATAACTTTTCTAAAGCCAGATCACATTAGCTGGAGAAACAAAATTATTTGTCTTGAAGAGAAATATCCACTGCAGATTGGTTAAGACATTCATATCAATTTTAGGTTGCAAGTATCATTTTTATTGCTGAAAAGGGGGTGACTTGCTACTCAGCTTGCCAATGGGAACAGTTTGCTGGCTCGTCCACATTCTGAACAATATCTCTGCCAACAAGTACTCCTGCCTAATGGTTTGCCAAGACTATCCATAAAAAGACAAATAATTAAGCTAGGAATGAAATGAGAGGGACAGAAGGAGGAATGATGCTTTGCAAGTGATAACTCTAAGCTAAGACATGGATAGAGGGTATTCTAACATCAGCACTTCAGTTTTCAGGAGGTCAGAACTCATCCCTTCTGAAAAACCACTTACGGCTCAGGTAGTAATCATGTTAGTAAGCCAACTGGCTTTCTACTTTGCATGATTAAATGGCAATCAGAGCATTGACTGGATAGTACACAGTGATTCAAACCAACACTTCTATAGGAAAGTACTGTCTGACACAATTACAAATGAACTGAGGCCATGTCAAGAATAATGTTTTCACAAGGAAATTACATATTGCATATAATGATGTTTAAATAAAGTATCAGGCGATGCATACAAATGTTTGAGATGGTATTAGGACTAAATTAAGGCTTAGGTCAAATGAACTGTAAAAGGCTTCATGCCAGTGCCAAAAAATAATTTTACAATTATGTATTATTTGATAATTTTGTTTTTTGAAAATGTAGAAATCTGTCTTAACTACGTCTGTATAAGGTTTTTCCGAACCAAACCTAAAGTCGGAAAAACCTGCCGAATTTGGACTTTTGAACCAATTTCAAACCATGCAGGGAGGGGCAAATCCGAATTTGAACCACTTACCCATTGTTCGGAATTATTCTGTAATGTTCAGATGTCTCCCATGGTTATTTTGATTTTCAGAACCATTAAGCAACTTTGATAAAGCCTAAACAGTTTTAAAATCTCGCTGTTTCCCTTCCCTGGTAAGTGGTGATGCAAAGAAGGATGAGGTGGGCGTGGCTAAGCACAGCCATTCTTGAAGGCCACGCCCCCAATGGTAGAGATTGCAAAAGGTCCTGCTGTTAAACTACATTAAACTACGAACTTATGTTTATGAGGCCGGTGCGCTCTCCCTGAGCTGTGGCTACCTATAGAAAAATTCTATTCAGAACTTGTATTTAAGCTGGATCAGTCTATAAAAACTTTTTTATAAAAACTTTGAAAATTTGCTAAAAATCCATGGATAAGTCAAAAATTATGAAATTTGGTTGAACTAACAGTGACCCATGTGTTCTTCCACTGTAGCAAGTTTTATCACAATTGGTCTAAAAATGAGGGAGGGACAATCCCCTGAAGTTTCCCCAGTGCCAGTGCCAGTGCTGTTTCTTTCCTACTGCGCATGTGTGTCTGCCATTAACGAAGCAATTCAGAAATTTCGGATATTTCCGCCTTTTTTTCTGGAAATTTTTGGAAATCATCCGAATCGCCAGCAAAATGAGTTTTGAACCATTTTTTAAAATCAAACAAGCCTAGTCATAACTTAAGGCCGTAAGCTTACTGGGTTTGTGCATAAACCCAAGCTCTAAACAATCCCATGGGAATGAATGAGTCCTCTCTGAGACTAAGAGCTCAAGACTGGGATGTTGTGACACTAATTCATTCTTCTGTCCACTCGTTTGAATCTAAATTTTCTATTTTGCTTTTGCAAAACAACCTGATCTACTTTGTCCTTTCTTGTATTATGTGTCTATTTACCATAGGAATAGGTGACAATTTCTTCTGTGTTGGAGAACTGAAAACATGCATGGGAATGGTCTTGAAAAACTCAGACACAAGAGAGAAGTCTGATCTAGACAATCATGCTAGTGATGAGTAGAGAAAGAATTAGCAAACACAACAAAGCCACATTAAAGAATGAGAACAAAGAATGGATGAGTTATTTAGCTTCCAAAAAATCAGGTTCAAAGTTTCTGAGGAAGGTGGAGTCTGAGGTGATCCCTCGTGGCCGAGTATGATTGTCTTCCATGGTAGAGTCTTGGCAGTGGATCCATAAATGAGTGTGAAGACCTATTCTGGATATACACAGTCTTCCACATAGAGGAGATAAGATTTCCAGATGGAAGGCAATCACAAGTGTTTGCTTGATGTGAGAGAGATGAACAAATATAATATTCAAGTATATAATATTCAAGATTCAGGAATTGTAATGTAAAGCTAGTGAAGCAGCAGTTTGTCAAAGGCAAGTGATATATGTGGCCTGTATATAGTTGTTGTTGTTGTTATTTGTCTTCAAGTTGTTTCAGACTTACAGCAACTCTAAAGTGAACCTATCATGGGATTTTCTCAGCAGAATTTGTTCAGAGAATTTGCCCTTTCCTTCCTCTGAGGCTGAGTGACTTCTCCAAAGTCACCCAGTAGGTTTCCATGGCTGATCAGTGAGTATCCTAGTGTCTTAGTTCAGTACTCAAACCACTACACCACATTGGTTCTCAGGTCACATATATGTCTAAAGATACACAGATATATACATCTAGTGATGTATATATCTGTGTATCCTATGAACCAGTTAGGATGTTAAGATCGTCTGGGGATGCCCTGCTCTCGGTCCCGCCGGCCTCACAGGCGCACCTGGCGGGGATGAGAGACAGGGCCTTCTCAGCGGTGGCCCCCTGGCTTTGGAATGCCCTCCCTGCAGATATTAGATCGGCCCCCTCCTTGCTGGTATTTCGGAGGAAATTGAAGACCTGGATGTTTGAACAGGCATTTGGCTAAGTAGTGTGACTGATTGATTGATTATTGGAACACGGAATAATGGATAACGAGTTTGGATACTGATTCTAGTGATGAGACCTGATGGATTTGCTATACTGATGTAATTTTGTATTGATGTTATGTTTATTGATTTGTGATGCTATTGTTTTAAAGGTTTATTGTCTGTACTATGTATACTGCTGAATTGTTGTTAACTGCTCCGAGTCGCCTAAGGGCTGAGAGGAGCGGTATACAAATGAAGTAAATAAATAAATAAATAAATAGTGGTAGATATCTTACTAGAATCATGCCTTACACGTCTTTTCTTCCAGTTCTATGTCAATATGTTTATTATATCATGAATGGCTATTTGACAATCTACCATCCATCAAATTTCAGAACTTAGTTTTACATGTATTTTTAATTGATTAAATAAAGACAGAAAATCTATTACACAATTGTAAAACTGTACAGACAATTAGTATCAATGATAGAGATGCAGCAAATTCTTTCCTGCCTTTACATCGATCTAGAGCAGGCATGGGCAAACTTTAGCCCTCCAGGTGTTTTAGACTTCAACTCCCACAATTCCTAACAGCCTACTAAGCTCAAAATTCCTAACAGCCTACTAGGCCACTAAGCTCAAAACACACTTTCATGTGAGGTATCCATTGTCTATAACACCTTCATCAATATATTTTGTTTCAGACATCACTGACGCATGCAAATGTTTCTTATGTGAAATACTATTGTACATATGATGTCATAGTTTAGCCTCAAACCACAGCTCTCCCCAATCAACCAGTTTAGTTCTTGATACTAAACCCCTTACTGAAAACCACTTGTGCTAACAGCCACACATGGTCTTGTCATCCTTTTTATTCAAGTTTAAATACCGCTTTCTATCTACATTTCCCTTGCGAAGTTGGTGTATACTACACTGAAGATGTTTCGAAGAACACTGCACTTACTGAGACAGCTTGGCATTAGAGACTAGTGATGAATTACTATTCAGACTTTCACCTTCAGATAAAGGGCACCCCTGTGGTTCAGATAAACAAGAAGTGATGATCTGAACTTTAAATGGTAGGGAAGAAAAGAAAAGCTGGCTCACTATACAGTCACCCCCATGTCACAGTTCCAGCTTGGAGTTTGGTATCAGTAAAGAAAAAGGCATCCAAGACTAAGGTGTCAGCACAAGACTGTCAAAAGAGTCAAATGTCTCCTTGTTTCACTGTCTGTTCAAGTGCGCAGAGAACATTACAGGTGAGAGGCCAAAGAAGAAGGAAAGCACCAGTGTCCAGGACAGAGAAATGAAATAATTTTTCACTTCAAGGAAATGTAATTCATATCTAGCCTTCATCAACCCTAATTGCTCACTTCACATTTTACATGGTGTTGTTCTACATTGTGATTTGCCAGCTACAGAGAGATCAGAAGTTCAGAACACCTTTGCCTTATCTAGTGTGGAAAGACACACTTGGATGTTCTCCTTGTGATATGCTGCTTTCTGGCAATATGTAATTGTTCTGCCAGACATCTATTTGCCTGATTCTTGATGACTTCACAATTCTCAGAAGCGGTGTGAGGTAAGTGGCTCAAACTTGAAAAAAAGCACTTTGACTCTTGTGCCAAGAGTTACTTTTCAGAACAGCCCATGCTATTTAGAGTAACGAAGGAGTTTTAGTCCGAAATACCATCCCTTCCTTATTTTTTAAAACATTTTGCTAAGGGAGCAGGTATCCCATATAATATATTATAAGAGAAGACACATTTAACTGCGGAGAGGGGGGGGGGAGGAAAGTGGGGGGTGGGTGGGTAAAAACCACATTATACACCCACACTGAAAAAAGCCACAAAATCATTTTTACTAGTCAATCTCTTTCATTTGATGTTTACCAACTAGACAGACATATTTCATTGTTAAATTGTTTCAGGAGTTTTTAAACCTGTGGGTCCCCAGGTGTTTAAGCCTACAACTCCCAGAAATCACTGTCAGTTTACCAGCTGTTAGGATTTCTGGGAGTTGAAGACCAAAACATCTGAGGACCCACAGGTTGAGAACCACTGTTCTAGACAACCAGCATAACCATTGGGTTTGGACTCTGAAGATGGGGGTTCACATTGTCAGTCAAACATGAAAATCCACTGGATGACTCTGGGAAAGCCATACTCTCGCAGTTCAAGAGGATCAAAAGGTAAACTATCTCTGAACATATCTTGCCAACAAAACACCACGACAGGGTTGCCACAGATGAGGTGAAAGTACATGGTAACAACAAATAGAACTCCAAATAGAAAACAAGAATATATATGCCTGCCCCTCCCCTTAGACCAGGAATGCTGTGCTCAGTGCTTAGTTGTTATTAGTGCATACCCTCTGAATATTTCATACACATAACATGGGGCATCGGGATGAAAATGGCTGGTCTTCCACTCTCAAAATATGGAAATAGGATGAATTCAGGGCTGGGAAAGTTATTATGAGGACAGACCAAGACCAAAGTTGTAATAGTGCAGACCTCACTCCCCTCTGTCCTTGCAAAGGCATGAAAGAAATGGAGGGAGAAAGAGTTCATAAGAACAAGAAGCTGGCATTTGCTTAATTGGTAACAGCACTCCATGAAAATTCCAAGTGTGCTGATGAATACTGAATTTCTAGTATTCTGGCTAGAAATTCAATGTTCAATTAACTAAATTCCTAAAGAAGAGGAAAGTATCTCTGTTTAACTTCAGTTAAACTCATGAACAGTGTAGGAGCAGTTTATAAATATTTATTCATTTGCTGGAATGAATGGAAGTTGTCGTTTTCTGTGTTTACTTGAAATGAGAGCACAGAAAATTAATATCCTATGAATCCCACTAAGAAATTATGCATCCATTCACAGTATGCTTTCTTATTAGACAATCCAAATTGTCCATTTTTTGGGAGTCCAGACTTCCTGGAAAGATCTGAATATCTATAAAATTGTGGTAGATGTACAGGGGAAAATGATTATCTATCTGAAATAGCTCTTAATGTAGAACTGACTTCTTTGCCCTATGTCCAGAAGAAATTGTACATTTGCTCTTACTCATGAAAGACAGTGTTTTTCAGTGATATCAAGCTAGGCATTTAAGCTTAAAGGGCACTGTACACTTTGTCATTTTAGGTGGTGTGCTACCTAATACGTATGAGGTCCCTTAATTAATACTGCAATAAAATACAATTGTTCCAGGATTAAATTTCAGCAAATGAGCAATAAATGCTTCCATACAAGCTCATTTCACCTCAAAATTGCACATTTCATACTGTTATAATAGCCTGATCTGAAGGTCTTTGATATATTGATATTTGAATGCTTGCAGAGGTTTATCTATAGATGTGTGTTTTTAAAAAACTACATTTCATTTAAATTAATACATTTTAAACAAATGGCACATTCACAGCATAATTATATACTAGGAAACTTCCCTGGAATGATGAGGCTTGATATTATGATGTGAATGAAACAAGTTTGACTGATAGCACCTTAAAGCTTTAAAATCTGTTTAACACAACGCAAAGAGAGGAAAACCTGCAATTAAAAAAATGGGTCCTGAACGTACATGAAAATGTTTGGGATATCAGCCTAAATGTAAATAATATCATGTTTGGTTATATTTTATTCATAAACTATGCAAAGAAAGAAACATTTGATAAATCAATGTGTGTATAATTTTTGTGTGTGTCAGGAGTGATTTGAGAACCTACAAGTTGCTTCTAGTGTGAGAGAATTGTCTGTCTGCAAGCATGTTACCCAGGAGACGCCTGGATGTTTTGATGTTTTATCATCCTTGTGGGAGGTTTCTCTCATGTTCCTGCATGGGGAGCTGGAACTGATAGAGGGAGCTCATCCACGTTCTCCACAGATTCGAACCTCTGACCTGAGTACTGATGTAAATATTTTATGAAATGAGATGAACAAAATGTGATGCAGACATTTTTCTGATTGCAACCTATGCTATTTCTTCTTAAAGTTGTGGAAAAAGAGGACTAACTACTAGCACTGTCTCAGCTGTTCCTTGTTTCATGGCCCCAGAAAAAAAGAGAAAACCAGCTACTGCCTTCAATTGTTAAAGCATCTGCAAGAAATGTGGCAATGAGGTGAATAAAAGAGCGGCAACAAACTCTGCAGGGTGACTGGAAGGCAGAAGCTGCAAGACCGTAGATGGTCTATATCTTCAGTGCTGAAGGCAGGCCCATAGCCAGGATTTTGATTCGGGGGGGGGGGGAATTTGTTTCGGGGGGGCTGACTCTGAGTGAGAGAGGGTCTACCCTAGCAAACCTTTTGTATCGTTACCCCAATACCCCCATGCATATGGGATATATTGAGTATGGTGATCAGATCATGATATGAATAAACATAACAGTTTAAATAATGCACCAGTAAGGCCTTTTCGCGAACCACCATGAGAATTGGGGGGGGGGCTGAAGCCCCTCAGCCCCCCCCCCCCCCCCGGCTACATGCCTGGCTGGAGGTGTGAAAAGTCTCAAAGAAAGGTACATATTATCTGGGCTGCCTGACTATGAAAGTCCTTTGAGAGCACTAAGAACCCATAGAGAGGGACTTGGAGGCAACTGAGCATAAGTCCTGTTCTGAGGGAGAAAGCCCTATTAAAGAATCAGGCTCTTTCTTCTACAAATGCTTAGCAAAAGTTTGCCAAGCCCTGTATCCTGAAGATACTTACTAGGACTTGGGTTACAATGTTTGACTGAGGACTTATCGAGCTTAAATGAAGTCTTTCCCATCTACGTGAAGAGCTTTGGCTGTGTTTCAGGGGTCATATTTGTGCATTTAATGTACCACTTCATAGGGAAAGTACAGATCCTGCGACACATGTTTATGTGCTGGTGACACAGAAAACAGTGTGGTCTTATTTACAATTTTTTTCTTTCAAATTTAAAAAATCAAGGTTGCAGTGGAAAGGCAAAATATGTTTTCTAGATCAAATTAGGGAACAGTATTTTCCAGATTCTCTTTATCATCCTCAGACACTCCAGATGACAATTTAGAACTTAAACATTTTAAGTTAGCATCTAGAACACTTCTTAAGTTCACTGATCTGAACAATTATCCTGAACAGAGCTAAGGGAGTTAATTCTTAGAAATTAGGTACAGTTTTAGTTCTTAGTCCTATTTATAGTTCAGTTTCATGATGCTGCTGCAGTGTACATTCAAGTCAATTTTGATTTACAGAGATCCTAAGGCAGTGGTTCTCAACCTGTGGGTCTCCAGATGTTTTGGCCTTCAACTCCCAGAAATCCTAACAGCTGGTAAACTGGCTTGGATTTCTGGGAGTTGTAGGCCAAAGCACCTGGGGACCCACAGGTTGAAAGCAATTGTCCTAAGGCACTTATCAATTACAAATACAGCAAGAGTTGTGACTCTGAACTCTTCCTGTTTCCGAAATATAGAGTTACGCTTTTAAAAAATTCTGAGTGCAGCAGTGTGTGTTATAAAACGAAGCATTTCGAAACCATGTGAAATTACTTCATTATTTGGTGAGGGCATATTAAAACAACACAGATATTGTCCATGAAAACAAATAAACATTGCTGAAATTCTGAGACCAATTGATATTGCCATTAACAGATGGTCTACGCATTCAGCCACAATCTGCATATTGCATTTCTATCTTTGGCAGATTACAGTCTTACAGATCACATAGGACTAAGGTGACACTTACATTTCCACAATACTTTCTGGCAGGTTTGCTGGAATTTCAGTTAAGCCCTTTCCCCGACAATCCACGATATTATTACTACAAGTGCAAGGTGATGGGCAACTGATGGAATTGGCATTGCAAGATGGAGGTTCAGTGTGTGAACCTACAAGGAAAAGAAATCAACAAAAGTACTTTAAAAATGTTGTTGCATATATATGACTGGCTGCTGTCACACAGTTACAGTTACAGAACCAAACCTAATTGCCGGATTGCCCATTAGTTTGTTTCCTCCATCTGCAATTTATTTAAAATGTCTACAACTGGGTGCAATAAAAAACACCTTCCCCATAGATTTGGCATCCTTTTGAACTCCATATTGACACAGTATACTATCAAAATCTCACTGGAGGTTTAGTTTAAGAAATTACCAGCAACAGCTGCTAAAACCTTTTAAAATATACCCTTTTAAACGTCAACACAAGCAGTGACAGCACCTGATTCATTTATAATGCATCTAAATGCACTCAAATCATAGCCATGTCTCATTACAAACTTAACTTCTTATCCTTTTGGCTCCCCCTACTCTAAGATAACTGAACATAGATCAGATCGTTGGAGAATAATCCATTCAATTCCATCTTGGAATGGCAAAGTGATTACAAGACTTTGCATCACCTTTCAGTTTCATCTACATTCTGGTGATTTGTAGCATCTTGGTTGTGGTGAAACTTTAAAAAATGTCTTTAGGATCACATTTCTATCATTCTAGGGACATGAAAAAAATAAAGATGCCTTTTCTCCATATGCTAACATTTGCTATGCTGGAAATGCTGTCTATTCAGTTTAAATAACAGTCCCAGCATTTATAGTGACAATCTATCAAGCTAGATTAGCTGCCATCCCTTGTTAACCTACCCCATGAGTACCAAGGTCTAAGAAATCAGTCAGTCCACAAATTCTGCAAATTGAGGCTTGGAGCACTGCTTTGGAAGTTCACACCTCACAATGCTGCACTTCATTGCTTGAAAGTCTCATACAGTGGGTCAGATATAGACCTCATCAAATTGAGATCCTAAAGCTAAAGGACAGCAGGAGCATCCGTGGGGCAGTGGGAAAACCCATCACACAGGGGAAAGCATTGCTGCCTTGTTCAACCCCCCTCCCCCCGCACTTTCCCGAGTTTGCCTAATGAGAACACGAGTAGCCACCCATGTTCTCAGGGCTCCATCCAAGGATGCTTCCAGGATAGAGCCGGGATGGAGTCCTGTCGGTAGTAGCCCTGCACCATGTGATGGTCTCTTGTGGGTTCAGTTTTGAGTCCATCCCCATGGGGACATGGGACAGCATATAAATAAAACTGACTTTGACAGAGCCCATGCTTCATGTGATGAGATCCTTAGTCTCCTCTGCCAACCTGATAGGGCCCAACAAGACCGTCTGATGGATTTATCACAATGCCGGTGCTATTAATAGAACATTGATAGTGCAGTTCTTATCTGGGACCTTTTTGCAATTTCTGGCAGTCTTACAGAAAATGTGACATCTATTTAGTATCACAGACCCCTAGAACTACAGAGTTGTAAGGGGCCTCATAGATCATCAGATACAACTTCCTGTTTGATTTAGGAACTCCAGCTGGAGAATATCAATTAGATAGCTGTCCAGCTTCTTTTTGAAACTATTTGGAACAATGGTTCCCAGCAGCTTACCACCTGCTAGGAATTGTGGGAGCTGAAGTCCAAAACACCTGGAAAGCCAAAGGCTGGGAACCAATGATCTAGAGAAAAAGACCCTTCCTCATATGCAATTTCTAGACAACTCGTTGCACTGGCAAAATGATTTTATACATATATAAATTTGGATATAGTGAACTAAAAATATTATCCCAATCTGTAACAATATTGTTTAAGTTAGGACAATTTTCACCCTAGTGATATTTTGTATGTTAACATTGTACATCAAGAATGCTAAAAATAGACATCAGGCAGACATGGAAGACTACACCCTCTTAGAAATATTGATTTCATTAATATAATAGCTAAATACAGGCTTACTTCCTCATTCAGAATGTGTATCCAACTGAGCTCATTGTGCCTTAAATTAAATACCACTCTGTCACATATACTTTCTAATTTGTTTCATTTATATGCTAGTCAGATACAGTGCCCCCTGAGAAATTGCATCATATTATTTGTTAATCACTCCTCCACATTAATATGATGCAAGTACAAATTTAAAAAGGCAATTTAACTACAAAATTGTCAACAGAACCTAGTAGTCGGGGGTGGGAGTAATCTGAACACAATAATTTATAATATTATTACACTAATTAGCTGTGTGACCAAATTGGAACTGGTAAGGAGTAGCTTTTAAATGGGACCAACATTACATTATTTTAATTAGTGCTTACAGTGAAGATTGATAAAAACTGACAGAACAAAGCAAAAAGATAAACTTATGACATCACCTGGGCAAACATATTCCTTTTTCTGAACGTCAGCAACATTGAATCCCCTCAAGTGAACAGGTGCCATGCAAAAAGTGAACTGTCCAACTGATCGCCTCTGGCGTAGCCAATCGGAAAGCCAAGCAAGATGGCAGTCACAGTATAAATAATTGGAATGAAGCCGTCTGTAATGGATTAAAAGAGACATCACATATTAAATCCATAGCCTTCCAGAATCTAGCTAAATTTATATTGAGTCAAATACACCATCTTATGAGTTGTACAGATTGATGGGCACCAAAAAAGCACAAAGATTATCCTATAGGATCACTGTTTGTACACCATCATAATACCCCAAATAGGATGAAGTATACCATATAAATGTTTTCAAACACATAGACATAGACTCCTAGAGCTGGAAGAGACCACAAGGGCCATCTAGTTCAAACCCTTGCCAGGCAGTAAGTGCACAGCAACTTTACAGTTATCAATTACATTCCCACAAGTTGTGTCATTCATTGTTTTTAAGGCTTGTTTGCTAGGTAATAATGATTGGATGAATGTAGCAAACAGCAGAGAATAATAAAAGAACTGAGATGGATATCTTGGATAACAAGGGTTTTTCGTGTCAGGAGTGACTCAAGAAACTGCAAGTTGCTTCTGGTGTGAGAGAATTGGCCGTCTGCAAGGATCTTGTCTAGGGGACACCCAGATGTTTTACCATCCTGTGGGAGGATACTCTCATGTCCCCGCATGGGAAGCTGGAGCTGACAGAGGAAGCTTGGCCTGCTCCCCGGGTTTGAACCGGTGACCTTTCAGTCAGCAGTTTGGCCAGCACGAGGGTTTAACCCATTGTGCCACCAGGGGCTTGGGGGGTGACAAAGGAATAGTAATGATGACTATCTATTTACCAAAAGAAGGCGTTCAACATGAGGTACAGAGGTGGGTTATTTACCTACTTGTAGACCTCCACCGCACCCCCATCTGTTTTGGGATGTTGGGAGGGGGGTCCTGTGGAAATGTGGCAGGGGGTACCATAGAGAAAATAGCAAGGAGCAGTAAGGATTGCTAAAAAACTTCCCATCCCTATTTTTCTTCTGAATGGCTCTAAATAGGACAACACTAAGTCACTAGTCACTAAGTATGTTCAGAAAAATCATCTTTCAACCTTGTATTCCTATAGGTAAATGGGAGGTCATTACTATTCTTTCCTTCCAAGTTTAAAAAAGCAGTGATAAACCATACATTCTAACATACTTAATGGGTTAGTATTTAATTCCCAATATGAAAGATGTGAAATACCTTCCACTCTTGTGAATTCACACTGTTTTGTGTTACATAGAAAAAAAGATCTATATCTTAAAAATAAAGTAGCCAGAATGTGCAAATAAGCAATCAAATATTTCATCCCTTCTATATGAGTCATGGCAGGCAGGCATTAACAGAAAACTCCCAAGACAATACTGTCATTTCTGAGGACAGAGTTGGGCAAAATACTCATTTTTGACAGACTAACATAATATATTACACTGACAAATACAAAGAACTATAAACCAGTCTAGCCAATCTCCAAAATAAATTAGCGGTGTGAGAGATCCTGATATTAGACAGTTGCAATTGGATTGAGTGGTGGCGCCTGAACCGACAGTCTCTATATTTGTACGTCTGCTAAAGGCCCATGAAGCATTTTTGCTGGGAAGTTTCCTGAATTCACTTACTCACTATGTCCAGGAAAGCTAAAGTCTCCTGACCTGTAGAGCAGACTGTGCAAAGCAAACAGATCTATTCATCAAAGACTGGGTGAAATTTTATTTGAACAGAATACTGGAAGAGGTATGTTATCTCATTTGCATACAGAGAGACTTTTAAAAGCATTTAATGGCTGTTATCCAATAAAAGTATACTCCTATGCATACTTAACCCTGTAATTATCAGGCTTTTAATTAATTATATTTCAAGCAATCTGCATCTAAACCAATTTTCAATGCAAGCACTTCGCTTTCTTCCTACTGAAAGAAAAACACAGCTTTTTGAATGTGAAATCGCCTACAGTGTGATCAACAACACACTGGAGTCAAAATGATTTCAAAATTAACAAAGCAAATATTTGATTATATTTTATTAGGATTCAATACTGAAAGGCACTTTCTCCACAACACCAAAGGGGGCCAGCTATAAAGAAGCCAAACTAAATTCACCATTTAAGCCGGGGTTTTTTTTTTTTTTTTTCCAAATAAAGGATGTATCTGTACTGTTGAATGAATGCAGCTTGACACCTGTTTAGCCATGGCTGAATGCTCTGGAATCCTGGGAGTTGTAATTTTATAAGAGGGCTCATATTTCACCAAACTAAAAAAAGCCCCAAGATTCCATAAAATTGTGTCATGGTACTGGTGCCAAGCTGCATTAATTCTCCATTATAGATGCAGCTGAAGGGCATGCAAAACTGGTATATATATCACACATGGAAAGAACTAATTAGAGACTAAATCTGTGTTGAATCATTGCAGGATTATATCTATAGTTAGAGAAACAAAGATGACTAACTTGAAACATATCATTTGAATAATTGAGGAACTTATCAAAGAGACACTCTATCCCAAGAATATTATTATTATTATTATTATTATTATTATTATTATTATTATTATTATTTTCCTAAAGGGAGCACGGGCACCATTATTCAATCATTGGCTGTACTAAGAAGGTGTAATGGGATTTACCATCTGTAGTAGACTGCACTCTAAACCACTTTTGTTCTTGTATTATTATGGGGAAAAGATGGGATAACACCATCATCATCCTTGTGTATCATCATTACCCTTATGGATTTTGACATATGTTTTTTTGAGGATTTCCACACAACTGGTTTTAAAAATAATAGCAATGTATTATAATATAAATGTTGCAGCTCTGTAAAGATATACTTCATTATAATTGCTATTTTTTTTCTCTCCCAACCCTATTTTGCTCCCCTTCCTTGCTACATTTCAGAATAGGGATTGGGAGGAAGGAAGACACTCCATTTAACACCTGCAGTGCTAAGTGCAAGGAGCTCTGATTTTCATCCAGTTAAGAAAAAAAATCACAAAAAATACCCTTTCTCTGAATCATAATTCAGGAGACAGAAGCTCCTAATTTTGGAGATTTACATGTGTAATTTTGCAGCCGATCTGGGAGGAGGCCAAGCAAACTTTGTGTTCCCATTACAGAGGTTCTTCCCTTTCTAATCTCAGCTTTGTAGCGTTCTGTGCAACCAAAAACTCTGCTTGAGAGGTTTTCCAAGAAGATATATAAAATACATGGGATTGCCTAAATCTCCTGAAAGCATGAGATCCTGCTTTGGAAGCTAAAGAGCACAGAATTTGTTAGAAATAATTGGGGGATTGCCAAGAAACACCAGGTGCAAGTGGGCTCTATTTTAGAGGAAGACAATGGCAAACCATGCCCAAGTAGTCCTCTCCCAAAGAAACTTTCATTACATTGAGGTTTACAGAATAGTTTAAGATACACACCCATGGAGAGTTTAGGGGCTGAATGGGAGAAGTGGAACAGTCTCCTCTGAAACCCACTGAGATGACTAATGAATTGTTGCAGTTTCTTTTTCAACCATCTTTAAGCTACACAAAATCACTGACAATTATGTTTCTAAAAATGTATTCCTTCACTGATGCAGAAACAGCAGGAGAGTTAAAATTAAGCGAATGAAGAAAAATGAATGGAGGGCAACATTTTGCATAATTATAGCTGCCTCATAGAAGAAGGAAAGCATATTGATACAAATTAATTCCTCTCCAATCTTTCTTATTTTACAATATTTTTAAATAATCAACAAACCAGAAAATTAGAAAAAGAAAAGATCAGTCCAAGGAAGAGTAGATTATGAGGAACAACAAAATGTATGTAGCACTACACCTATATTGCATGATTTCTCTTCCTCAGAAATCAAGCCAAAGTTAAAATGTATTCCTTTTACTATGCCCTTCAATCCAGCAGAATATGTTTTAAACAAGCATGAAAAGATTGAAAAGAACAGCCCAAATGAGACATAAAATGTAAGCTGCAAAACTAAGCCTTACTGTCAACAAAGTGAGAAGTCCAACAAAAAAGAAAAGGGAAAAAAATTAAGAAACTGCAATACAACACATGGTAACTTCCATCGATTGAAGAACAGGTGCTGAACTTTCCCAATTCCCACTAAAATCGAGGGGACTTAAATGTACTTAAATGTGCTGTAGCGTTTGCTATGTTATATCGGCTTTGTCCTCTCTACAGTATTTGCCAACACAGGTGCTCAGTATAAATTATGTTTATGTGAAATGGACACCCTTAAATGTAGTTGGTAGACAGCACCACAAAACAAGGAGGCAAAAATGCTTCAGCCATAATCAAAGCCCTGGACAGAAAAAAGCGACTCACTGGATTCTGTTAATCCAATTTGGACTAAACCATGCACACATGCTTTCTTTCAAGTTTTCCTTGACAAAGACTACTCAAAATGAAACAAAACATCCAAATGGAAGAAAGCTTTTCCTAGCTACCCTAAGAAAATAAAAATGTGTGTGTGGAGAAGACTATACTCCAGAAAAAGCAATTAACAAGAATCTAAACTACCATAAAATTAAATAATTAAAAAAAGATATCCCACAGGGGTGTCCTTGACATCATAGAAAAGTCTGTTTTCCAGAGTAAGATTCCCCTTTGGATCCTTTCTCCCAGGACTTCTCAGCCACCATGAAGGTTTCTGATGTTTTCCTCCTGAGATGATCTCACAGCTCTGGGTACAAATCAGGTTTTGGATTCTCTCTTCAATCTATAAAATCAGAACTGATGGTGGTGCTGAGGATCCCTTGTTTCAGCCAAGCTCCAAACACAATTCTCAGTGATTGTGCAACTACCTGTTTTCACATGCCAACAATTGGGAGTAACTGGGAGTAGCCCTGGAGCTATTCCAAATTATTTCCATGTCTCTGTTTGGAATGGGAGAAGACTTTTACCCCTGGAGGAAAACCAATCTCAATAGAGAAGCTGGAAATAGTAGCTTGCTTCTAACTTTCCAAAGAGACACAGAAAGGAATGATGATTCTGGTATTGGAGTGCGCCAACAGATTGCTCTCTAATTAGCTAACACACTGCTCTGTCACACAGGAAAGGTATAAGGTTCATGCAGGGTACATTTAAGATTCCTTTTTCCATAGTCAATGTTTTCTGTGTGTCTAAGTTGGTGCACTGAATTGCAGCCATGGTTTCTAAAGGGTCATTAGCATCTACTTCTTTTTTAAAAAAGTAAGGTATGCTTAATGATGTGAAATATTAAATAACATATTCAAGAGTGTGACTAATAATTACAGAAATACAAAGTCATTTCCTTCAATAATATCCTAATGAAGACACTTGGAAATATCATTTGTCTGTACCATGCATGCTTATTTTACACTTAATCTTCATCTGATAGCATTGATGTCTATAACAACATAAATGAAGTATAAGATGAAAAAGGTAACCTTTTAATTGTAGTCGGGCCCTTTTATTTTTCATTAAGAACACGAATGCTTAAATGTCTGTTGCCGACTTACTTGGCAATATACATGAACTGAAATTGGTAGAAGTAAATTTATAGTGCACAAAAATATAACTTCTAGTTTTTAAAAGTGTCCTTTTAGGCACTGCCTTAATTAGATTTCCAGAATATCTTTTTGGGTCAGCATCTAGGTTTTATAAAATGTAATTCTGAAAATTCAATTTAAAAGCTTTCCTTTAAATCCCATTTATGGCTTCCTTCTCTGTTTCTCCCTTTAATTACAGCAAAAGAGAATTAGTCGATACAAGTCTCCAGGGAGCCATATACAGAGCCATCTTTTGAATTAAAGGAAAATGGCAGCAGACACTCTGTATGGTTATCACACAGACTGATCAATTTGTAGGGAAAAACAAGAGCACTACCAGGGAAAAACTAAAATGTATATATAAATATCTTCAAATTAATGAATGCAAACAGTTACTTATAGAGCTACTTTTTATGGAAGGCCTTAATACATACAAAAATAAACTCAGTATTGATGTCAGCAATTTTTTAGTGCAGGCAAAGAAAATGTTTTCGTATACTCTTTCTTCTAACTCTAGTTATAAAACTATTTGTGACCCACCAAGCTAAACAAACCAACCAGAAATTAACTAGCATGTGTTTAAAACTCCAGCACCTTACATTCACTCAAAAACAGTACATTTATTATGAACTGGCATATTTTTCACTTAAGAAAACAGGCCTGAAGTAGATAGGCTAATAATGAAACAAATAGGGGGGGGGGGCAGATAATTGATATTATTTAACCAAATCATCAGGGAAGACTTCAATTTGACATTAAATGGCAAAACATTAAATAGAGGAACATTCATTATCCTTGGTAAATAATAATAATAATAATAATAATAATAATAATAATAATAATAATAATAATAATATCATTTAATTTATATAACAAATAAAAACCTATGCTCTATATCAAGAATAGACAAAATGTGCGCTCCTGATTTTTGGATTGTACCTTCTAGCATCCCTCACCATTTGATAGGCTTCAAGGGAGTCTGTCTAACTCGAATGGTTATACTGTGTATTTCTTAATCCTGTTCTATATGAGTGGTGAAAAAGCTGGTACCTTGACACCACCTCAACACCCTTTTCACTCTATAACAGATGCCCATTTGCTGGCCTGCCTTGAAGTAGATTGAGCTCATGCTTTGCATAATGTCTCTTGTCACCCCACTATAAAGCACAGAGAAGCTTGAGCCTCCATGTGCAATTTATTTTCTTACTTCTGATGTCAACAGCTGAAGTGTTCTTGGCTTTGTGCCTAAGTTTACCTTGGACAATGTGCTCTTTGGCACTTTTCTGGATTACAGCATAGTCCACCACAACATATAAAATGGATGACATGTTATATATATTTGAGGAAGCTCCAACCTGGCTACATTATAACAGTCTCCTGTTGCATTATCCAATATTGGATTTGCCTATTTTCCCAATGCAATGGAACAATGCAGAACATACTAATCTCCTTGTGTGTATAGCAGCTAAGGTACTGAACAAAGAGCTAAAGATTCTCTGGTTGAAATGTTGTTTCAGCTTCAGTTTCTTATCTGAAATCCGGGCTATAATATAGTGCTGTTGTTAAGATTATATGTTTGGACTGTGTGAACATTAAACATAAGCACTACAGCTCGGATCCTACTGCAGAGACATTCTTGAATCCAGTTCTGTTCAGGAGACTCTCCTTCCAATAGATGGATAGAGGTAATTTGTGTGAATTTGTCAATCTCTATGAAATCTCCTCGGCAAAATGTGCATGTGGGAAGTTCATAAGCAGAAGAATTTGGTGAAATCTGTCCAGAAAATGCTCTTGTTTGGTAAAAAATCTTTCCACACACAGAAGAAATACATCTTTTTGTGAAAAATCCAGTTAGGTTCCAATAAACAGTTTTTTATGTTATGTTGTACATCACAATGCCCAGATTAGACAAGGTTTCTTCCCAGTTTAATTCTCACTCTGAGACTCTGTTCCAAACCCAGCCCAGGAACAGCAGTCTATGTTGGGCTGCATAAGCTCACGCCATGACCTCCATGCTTGTCTGGCCTGACATTAAGGCTTATCTTGCCACAAGAAAAAGAGAGTGAAGTCTCTCCACTGTGGCAGTCTTGCTTCTGGCCTATATATCACCCTTATTCTATTTCCAATTCAAGCTACTTGCTGCTCTCACATACTGAAATGAAAGAGAAACAAGAGTGCTGCACATTCTCCCTCTCTCTTAGAATAAGCAATTATGTTTCATTTGTTTAAAAAAGTGTTGAAAACAAAAAGAAAAAAGACTGAAACATTATGCAGGTCAGTTCAATCACAAAATGCTTTGAAAAGGAGTACTTACAGGGTCCTGATCTTCGGCATATGGTTGAAGCTGGTGAGAGGGATGCGAGTGATGTTGTTGTTATTGAGAGTACTATAGAGAAAGGAAAACAAACATAGACGGATTCAATCAGTAGCAGTATTCTGACAGAGCTATTTATAGAAAATGTTATTTTTGTGGGGGGAAAACACAAGAAATGAACGATCGGAGCATAGTTAGAAATGCATTCGCACTGTAAACCTCAAGATGCCTATAAAAACAAATATAAACTATCCAGTGACAGTTGGTTTCCATGTTAGAGGAGTAGTTCCGGGTTTTAATCCAAACTATTTTGAAAATAAGATCCGGCACCATGGATAGCTCCTTTACCATTATAAATCTCTTGTGGATCCAGTCAGCCCTATAAGTTAAAATAAGCAATACACTATTCATTTTTTTTAGGAATTTACAGTGCCAATCTATCTTTTCAAATACATTTCTGATGAATAGGTGGTACCAGTAGAAAGAACACAATGGTAAGAGTCTGGGAGACATCAGTTAACCTTGACCGCTACTGGCATGTCATATTTATTTGCCTTTGCATCTTGATGATGTGGCTGAATCTATAACACTATGTAACACGATTTTTGTTCCTGGGTTATAGATGTCTTTTCCTAATTGGTTCTATCTTTTAAAAACATGGAAAAACATTGTTTTTGTGGGACATTCTGCAGCACATTTTGCTATAGTTTTTTCGTGATAAGAAGGAAACAACTTGAATGCACAAAATAACAAAAACCATTCTCAGTTTAGGAGGGTATTTCCAGAAGAATGATTTCTATGCCTGCCATATGGTTATTAGAGATGAGGAACTGTTAAAGGGAAAAAGAGGTAACCTGAATGCAGCACCATAAACATGTTTGAGTAAAACCTAAACCTTTACGAACTAAGCACTCAACGTCTGTACAGGCAATCATCAAGTTACAAACAAGACAGGTTCTATAGTTTTGTTCTTATGTTGAAGTTTTATGTAAGTCAGAACAAGGACATTTTTTAAAGTGTAAGGACTCTTTCCCCATGATAACTCTTCCAGGAGTGAATTTTCCTTTCTAGAGGTAGATTTATCTCACTTCCTGTTATCTCACCCCGTTCTTAACTATGTGCCATTTGTAAGTTAGATGTTTGTAACTCGGGAACTGCCTGTACTTTCATTAATAAACACATTTTTTTCTTTCATTTTTTTTTTAAATCTAGTGCTCACACATTTATAAAAACAAAAACCCTGCAAATTTGTCATGTTCAGCATGTACAAAGTTGAATTTTCATCTGCCCATCATGTTAGGTTGGTTCCACCTGAGATGCAAATCCCAATAGATTTGCAAATAAGGCTATGCAGTAAAAAATGATATTGGTTTCATTCAGCTGTGTGATTTTATAGACCCCATGCAGAAGAAATGTTATAATGAAATAGGCCAGAATATTGACACATTCCAATAGCTATATTTTATTTAGAAAAATTGTAAGATGGAAAACATGAAATGAAGTTTTCTACTGAACATCAGATCGAATTGATACCCCATTCTACATTAAGTTACAAGGACAAGAGAGGCCAATTTAAATTACATTGAACTAAATAAGCTTCCCAGTAGTGTTTGAGAAAAAATTGGGGAAACTTTCACTCCCCTATAAAACAAAAGTCTTAATTTTCAGCTTCAGGGTAGCTGAGGATCAACACCTTCTTGAAAAGTGTTTAAATTTTGGCTGTCGCAAGCCATGTCCTATCAAAACCAAGAGAGTGCCAGTCCTTCATATGTAACCAAAACACACACACACACACACACACACACACACACACACACACATATATATATATATATATATATATATATATATTGTACATATTCATCCTTCCGTTGATGACTGTTGGGTTGTTAAAGCTTTGTGGTGCTGTTTTGAAGATTTTTAAATGGGGTTTTTGATAATAATTTAATGCAGTTTAATATTTCTTATCTTTAATTTACAAAATCTTTAATTGTTTCTGACACTTATATTTATTTTTTTATTCTATGTTATTTTTAACTTGCATTGTTTTAATATGTTTAGCTGGTTTGTTGTAAGTTTTTTCAGGCTTTAATATGTTAATATGTTTCATATGATTAGCTGGTATTGTACAACCTGACATCCGTCAAGAAGTAGCAGCCTGTAGTGAAAGGACCAAGGCATTGAGATGTCCAGACCATCCTCTGTTCAGCTATCACCCAGCAAACAAACATCTTAAATAAAGAAATAGCTTCCTAACATCCACAGAGACACTAGCAGGAACACCTGCTAGCAAGAATCCAAAAGTGGTAGGCTAAAAACCGGAACCTCAATCCATGGCTGATACCAGATCACAAACTCCCCCCTGGGCACACAGAAGATTGGGTGACTTGGAAGATGCTGAACAGACCGCGCTCTGGCAACACGAGATGCAGAGTCCACCCTAAGAAATGGGGCTAGAAAGTGGAGTCCACGACATGTGAGTGTGAAGAAGAGCAAACCACAGACCACTTACTACAATGTGGCCTGAGCCCTGCGACATGCACAATGGAGGACTTTTTCACAGTGACACCAGAGGCATTCCAAGTGGCCAGCTTCTGGTCAAAGGAAATCTCGCATAATGCCAAGTTTTTAACTTTGTTTGTGTCTTTTAAAATGCATTGTAACTGTACTGCTTCTGACACTATAAATAAGTTATATTATTGGGAGAAAGAGGTAATACAAATGAACTTCTTCTTCTTCTTCTTCTTCTTCTTCTTCTAATCTCCACTGAACAGAGTTATAAGGAGCATGCTACTCATTCTGCTCTTATTTGAATGAAATATCATAATCAATCAAGGCCATACATGAGCAATGCAAATGAAATCACCTTATGACTTCCTAATAATAAACATTTTACAACATCTTAGCAGCACCAGGTATTCTTTTGCGGTGACAATAATAGCCTAGGATTAAATTTTACAGCTATGGTATCAGTAAAACTGTGATCTAAAGGTAACATTGTTATTTTAATTGCCTACATTAAACAAGATGACAGGTGGCAAAATTAATAAATGTGCAATTTTGTGTTCACTGGAATAAGTTTGAAGTGAATGGGAGGCATACAAATGGCTTTTTACACATTTGTCCAATGTCACAACTACTGTGACAGAAATAGGTCTGTTTTCTGTTAGCATGATGGAAAAGATGCACTGTGAAAGGCTCACTCTCAAGGGATACACATATAAAATATGCATGTTGTTTTCTTGTTGCACTGATTTTGAATGGATTGGATATGCATTTTTATAACTCCCTTCCCTTCCAAAGCATAGAGTCATAGTTGAAGGGAGACTCCAATTGGTAAATATAATATGGACTCTGATTTTCTCTTAACACTTGATTTCTGAAAGCAGTTATCGCAAACAACCAATCAAAATGACAAATGATATGGTAGATTAATTTTTTTTATTAGTGCTTGTTCAGCACTAATGAGCATCTAGCGTAATTACCAGGGGGCGGTTAGCCATTCAAGCTTCAAGATAATAAGCAGCAGGCTTTTTTTTTTTTGTATGGCATTTGGCTGTGCTGCATCCATCGGGACAATTCTAATCTGTAAAGAAATACACAAACTCATAGGCTATTCAATGCAGAGATCATACACAGACTCTGCATTTTATTTTTTATTTACTTTATTTTTTATCTCGCCTTTCTCCTGATATTTGTATGTGTACTCAGATGTGGTCTACAGATATCATCTGTAATATTTAAACTAGTCAATTAACATTACTGCTGTTCTTAGAAAAAGGAGACAGGGTTTTTAATTTGTTTCTGGAATTAAAGAACACATTTAACCCTTTGATTTCTTTAAAGACTAGCAATAATCCATGCATTTGTTTCACTTGCTTTCTCTGGGTTTTCAACTCCGCTAGATCAAAAAGGAAGTCATATTTAGTTTTATGTTTAACTATTATTGAAGAAAAAAACTCTTAGACATTTCCCAGTTAACAAGTATCACTTTAGATGAGGCTGGCTCCGTGGTATCTAAATAATCTATACTCCTGTATCTGTTTAGGGTTTGGTATTTTCTCTGTTCTTGCTCTCTTATTTAACCTAGAGGAGCAATCTTGTCTCTGTGTCTGTCTCTCTGTCTATGTGTGTGTGAGAGAGAGAGGGGGAGAGAGGAAGTTCTGGGACCATGACATAGATCTTTGGGGTTGACTGATTAGTTATAGCAACAATGGCAGTTCTAACAAGTGTAACATTTCCTTCTGTCTTTTCCAATTAGGCCACTCCTTTATCAGAGAAATCTAATTCCCAGCAGCTCTTCCTAACATGGCCAATAGGGAGGGATCATGGGAGTTCAAATCCAAACCATATGAAGACTGGGGGAAACTGTACAAATGCAGCAGTAATATTTGTGAACCTGCAATAGCTAGCTAGGAAATTGCTCTCACACATGTTAACAACAGCTTAGTAAGCTGCTATTATTATTATTATTATTATTATTATTATTATTATTATTATTATTATTTCCAGCTTTTTCTCTCTTAAGCTACTTTGCATACCTCTGGCTAATTACTCCCAAGGTATGATTTGTACATATACTCTTTTAAGAAATAGATTTTTCTCAAAATAATAATAATAAAAAGATGGATCCTAAATATAACAAACTGCTTAATTATTTAGAATGAATATATGCACCCCTGAACAATGAGCAAAGCATGATTCATTATTCACTACACATAATCCACTGAACCCCAGGCTCATATACAATTCCCAGAATCAGCATATTTTGATTGTCCTGGCATTTCTTACATTATGATTGTTCTCAATAGCGACTGAGAAACTTCAAGACTGTTAGAAGTGCTAGTATATATGAAGTGTATAAATGGGTTTTACAAAGTCTCTTCCCTATTGTTCCTCCACACCATAAGAGAAAAACTCTGAAAGGAAGTGAGCAAAGTCCTTAATCTTGTGTGTTTGTTTCTGTGTGCCCAGCACCAAGTACTGTAGATGATTATTACATAAACTGTTTGCCATTCAACTGTAACAAAACCCAAATAATGTCAGAAGTTCCCAACATATAGCAGTTGACT